CAATGTAATGATAAATGTTACCTTTCCAAACTGAAAAACATTGAATGGTAATTACAAACATTCTATAAAACAAAAACATCACATAAAACGAATCAGAACTTTATTTAAAATTAAGTCACTTGCTAAAATAGTCTATAAAAAAAAATTACAAACCATTTTTGTTTTGGCTAGTCGCACATAGAGCATAGGAAGCTAAATTCATTATTTTTATAGCATGGCAAACAAAATAACATGTACTGCTTGGTAATTCTGGCCATATTAAATGTCCAGCAGAGAACGGCGATGGAGAATATAGTTTCCGGAAAATGTGGCAGAGGTCAACTGCCGCAAATGTTGATACAAGACTGTGAGGATGCACTGGCTATAGGCCTGGAGAATAGGCTAGAGAAAGAGATTTTCAGGCATGTCGTGAAGATAGCGACATTCTGTAAAGCAGTGTTCTTCAATCTGTAGGTTGCAGCCCACTGGTGGGTTGCAGAAAAGTCCTGGTGAACCGCCAACAATTTCTGCCCAGTCGTCTAATGGGGTAAGGTATGTAGTTTTCCTATTTCAGGATTGCGGTCTGTAGGTTGACACATCAAGGATAAAAATAAAACAGGTAAAAATCCTGAAAACCTCGCTCAACTGCATATATATATCCTAGGAGCAGCAGTAGTTGCTGCATTAGCTGAAAATTGTAATTTTGTGACACTGACTTTAACAACAACAAAACTGCTTTCAACATTCGTTTTTGTTTCTGTGTTTGATTAGCTGTCAGGTGGGCTGCAAAATGAGTTCTTGTTTTCCTGGGCCGCAGGTGTAAAAAAGGTTGAAGAACACTGCAGTAAAGGACCTGCTGACTGATGATGATGATTGGTACTCATAGAAAGAAGTAGAAATAGAATAGATTTGTATGCTATCTAGTGTGTCCAATCAATACATGCTAACTTGTTTGTCACACTGTTTTGACAGCCTCAGTGGTTCCCCAGCTATTTATTTCAGTGGGTTTCATATCTTTGTGGACCAGTCAGCAGTCAACATTATGCTGGCTGCTTATAGTTCTCATGACATCTTTTAGTACCCATATTATGTGAGTTGACCTGTGAGTCAAGGTCAATTATTTTAAATTACCTGCCAGGACACAGATTCAAACGCAACAGCTTTGCCATGACAGGCAAGTATCTAGTCACTGTACAATATGGGGTTGTCCTGGAAAAGATTCAATATCACGCTATTCAGGGCAAGCCCATATTCGCTCTGTCTCCCTACTAAGCAGTCTTCTTACTGATGGTACAGTTATCATCTGGTTAACTACTCGTCTTGCCTTTCCCCTAAGTCACTGTGTAATCGTATCTCACAAAATGGTCCGGAGCAACTGATAAATGTAAGAGAAATTTGCCAAATCAGGACACTGTACGTAAGTAAAGGCTCTATTTCCACACAATGAGGTTAATAGGCACTGGGTACTAGCCCCATATTTTTTATTGACTAGTTAGCACAGTACCAGGAAAGAGGGGCAGAGGCGGACCAGCACAAAGTATAAGTGACATCTTGGATAGGAAAGTGCATGAAGTGGCAGAGCGGAGGAGAGACTAAGTTTTTTTTTCCCAGGCAGATCGTGATAAGCGTGACATTCTGCAAAAGACTTGCTACATGATGATGATGATGATGAGCTAGTCCTCAGTGACTAATATGGGTACCAGGTAATGTCCGGAGAAATCAATGTAGCTAGCATTGTACTGACCACACCATCATCGAGCGCTGATTTAGCTATAAACATATGTGACAGTATCCTATTTGCTACTGGCGTAGGACTCTTTGTTTCTGGATTAGCCTGCTATTTTGGTAAAACATTTCATTAACTCACCACAGCAGTTGTATTGTTGAAGCCAAACCAAATGTTTTGTCTGTCTGTCCCTTCTGGGATGCTACCTAAAGGTTTGATTAACCCTGAGACTTTAAGGATTTTATCCTGGGTGTCAGACCAGCAGGAAGAATCCCAGATGCCCCCTTCAATCTCGAAAGACTATTATTAGGTGACCCATAATGGCTATGCCAGCTGGTGTCTCCTGCAGTGTCATGTGGGTAAGGATATCCAGACCAAATTTTCGCTCTGGCTTTTTAAAACCTACACTACGGAGGTTCCCCACCTCTATCACAGATGCTCCGTCTCCTGATGCAAATGTCTTAAGGAAAGGGTAGACAAACTATGGTTCCCAGGCCAAAACAATTCAGCCAAGCAACTTTTACTGGCCCATGAGTATGGCGCAAATTACCTATATAATCTAGCCTTTTAGCTCACAAAATTGAAGAAAAAAAAACCACCTTCAAAAGATACTTTATGAATATATAGAAGCGCTTCAGTGGGTGAGTGTGTCTGGCCAGAGACGCAATGAAAAATTATTATCTTTAATTGTGTCCGTGTGATTTCCGGGGCCCCATTGTGAAGATAATAATAATAGACCCATTGCCTACTCAAAATCCTGTCATAACAGTCGACTAATTAGGAGCTTCCTTTGAAGTCTGAGTGCATGTGCCTGAGAGGCAAGGAACCTACAATCTGTTTACAAATGAGTCAAAACTGTAAAACAGATGTGCAGACAACACTCAGGTTCTGGAACACGACTAGAGTCTAGAAGTGGATGAACAACCAAAACTTTCCAACAGAGTTTACAGCCGGTAAACATGAAGAAGAAGATAGTCTTAGAATATTTTGCAAAATATAATCTTACCAGAAAATCTGGGTGTGATGTTTATAATTGATTTTTTTTTTTAATGTGTCCTGTTATCAGGTTGGTAATAAAAACTTAGCCCATGGACCAAAAAAAGGTTGCCCATCCCTGTTTTAATGTGTAGAAGTCAGAAACCCCATGGTTACTCTAGTATCACACTGGCTATAGTGTGTTAGGATATATGAAGAGAGCCGTGATTGGTTATCATAAAGACAGCCAGTGATTGGTTATAACAAAGACAGCTAGTGATTCGTCATCATAAACAGAGCTAGTGATTGGTTTTCATAAACAGAGTTAGTGATTGGTTATCACAAGGAGAGCTTGTTTAAAGGTATGATTGTTGTCAAGCTGATTCAATGAATGACTTAACAATATTATGCAAATGCATCTATGAAGCTCAGGGACAGAAATCACACACACACACACACAAGTGAGTGTTTTGACCAGTCTTTATCAAAGAATAAAACAACAGAAATGTAATAAAACGACCCCACAATAAAGTAAACCTTGACCAATGCCTTTATCAAAGAACAAAACAATGCTACTGAAATGAAATAAAATGACCGCACAGTAAAGTAAACATTGAAAATCACTTTAAACCTTGATCAAAGAAAAAATATCAGGAATACATAACTACAGAAATTAAATAAAATTACCCACTCAGTAAAGTAAACCTCTCTGAAGAAAAATTAAAAAAAAAAAAATAATTTGATTTGGGGGAACAAATGTGGAAAATTGAATACACCAGTTTTTCGTTTTAATTTCATTTTTCTTTTCCTTTTAACTTTCCATGGATATTTATGAAAAGCAAATCCCTGGCTTGAAGAGGAATCGACAAGGTGACCACTGATCTGACAGGCAAACATATATGTCACTATCCATTTTACAAGGTGTTTTATGTTGCTGTGTGAGAGAGCTGTCACTATTAGTTTTTCAAGGTGTTTTATGTTGCACGTGTGTGTGTGTTTTTGTGTGAAGTGACACCACTAGTTTTAGGATGTGTTTTGTTTGTGATGTGCCATAGTCAGTTGTAAAAAAAAAGTATTTAAGTTTTATGTTTAAGGTGGTCATCACCAGTTAAATGAGGTGTTTGGTGGTTTATATCTTTAGGGTGTCAACGTTTGTTTCATAAGGTGTTTTGTGACCTATGTCTTTAGGGTGTCAACATTTGTTTCATAAGGTGTTTTGTGACCTATGTCTTTAGGGTGTCAACGTTTGTTTCATAAGGTGTTTTGTGACCTATGTCTTTAGGGTGTCAACATTTGTTTCATAAGGTGTTTTGTGACCTATGTCTTTAGGGTGTCAACATTTGTTTCATAAGGTGTTTTGTGACCTATGTCTTTAGGGTGTCAACATTTGTGTCAACATGTTTCATAAGGTGTTTTGTGACCTATGTCTTTAGGGTGTCAACATTTGTTTCATAAGGTGTTTTGTGACCTATGTCTTTAGGGTGTCAACATTTGTTTCATAAGGTGTTTTGTGACCTATGTCTTTAGGGTGTCAACATTTGTTTCATAAGGAGTGTTCTGGTCTATGTCTAGGGCACCACCATTTGTTGTATAAGACATTTTATGGTTTAAGTTTTAGGGTGTCATTTGGTTTATTAGATGTTTTCTGCTCTATGTCTTAAGGGTGTCAAAATTTTTTTAACAAAGTGTTTCATGGCCTATGTTTTTAGGGTCTCTATATGCTGAAAATAACAATTCTCTCTTTGATAAGTTTTGTGTATCTTTCTGATAAAACTATCAAGCCTCTCTCTTTGGGAATTTTATTTTTGTCTGTCTAATGAAACTGTCCATTTTTTCTTTAATTTTTTTTTTCAATTTAATTTTTTTTAATGAAGCTTTTTATCTTCGGCCTTGTTTTTTTTTTTTTTTTTAAATGAAGCTGTCTATTCTTGCTCTGACCTTTTCTCTATCTCTGATCAATATATCTATTCTTTCATTGGCATTTTGAAAAAAATGAAACTCTCTATTCCTTCTCTCACCCTTTCTCTATATTTTTGATCAAACTATCTACTCTCTCTTTGACAATTTTTCTTTCTTTCTTTAACAATATTTCTCTCTTTTTGATAAAACAATATATCCTTTGATATTCTCCTATTTCTCTAAGGCAACTATATACACTTTCTTTGACACTTTTTCTTTTTCTCTGACATTGCTTCTATCTCTCTGATGAAACTACTTATTCTTTCTTTGACACTTTTTCTATCTCTCTGACACTGCTTCTATCTCTTTGAAACTATTTATTCTTTCTTTGACACTTTTTCTCTTTCTCTGATGAAACTATTTATTCTTTCTTTGACACTTTTTCTATTTCTCTGATTGGCAGGTGGAGTTTCAATGGATGTCGGAGTCTCTGAAGATCACTCTCAATTTCGGCAATATCTTCCAGCAGCTGATTGTACCTGTCCACATCAAACTTCTCCTTCTGGGCCAGCTTATAGAAGTGCATCAGAAACTGCCGGTCTCTCACATTTGGGTAGACATATTCCTGAGGAAACAACATCAACCTTTAACTCTTTTACAACGAGACAGAGCTTCTCTTGGACTATACAGCTAGTAACCAGTTATTAGTCTCATGAATCAAACTTTGAGGAGCAACTGTCCGAACAGTTAAAAATACTAGGCTCTCATGTGGGAGACCCTGGTTTGAATCCTCGGTAAAGTTATGGGATTTTTAAAAATTAAAACCCTAACCTGTATAACCCACAGTGACTGCACTAGCCCTGCAGCCCTAATTCCTCAGGCTCACCTATGCACTTCCATTCTGACTCAATCTGAAATAGGTCTCAGAAAATGTCCTGGGAAGTAGGGACAACTGGTTTGCATCTCCCATCAAGTGCCGACTGGTCAATATAAATACTGGCCCAGCACTCAGCCAGATAAGAATTAAAGCAAGAGAGCAGTTAAATTATTTAGATAATAATCTTGACAGTCAAGGAAACACAAACAAAGAAATTATAACATTCACTGGCAAGGCATCAGCAGCTTATAAAATGCTTGAACAAAATATGGAACTTATAATAGCTTTAGAACCAAGTTATGTATTTTAATTCTCCAGTTATTTCAGTTTTAACATATGCCAGTGACAGTTGGAGTACCACTAAGGATATGGTATACAAGTTAAGTGCAATTAAAAAAAAAAAAGCCTGAGGAAAATGGTTTAAAAAAATGGAAGGATGCATTCAAGAGCTGTGACTGTTGTTGTTATCGATCCAGCGGCGCATGAGCTTTCGCCCTTTGGCCCAGTGGATTGTGATAGCTGGGGTGTTTGTGGATTATGTACCTCCCCGGGCAGCAGCTAGAAATGACCTGTATCAGTTCTAAAGGAAATATGGGTTGTGTTTCTGCCTTCCCCTTTAACACATAGCTAAGGTGGGGCTCACAGTGTGCTCATTCCCCGCCACCAGATTGCCTGCAGGTTTGGCTGAGCTCTTCATGGCTCTAAACATTGCCTGAGCACGAGTAGTTGGGGCAACTGGATCGTCACGTCCTGAGTCCCTGTGCCTTCACGATAGTTTCCGGTATTCAGAGGGGTTAGCATACTTGTTTCCATTCCTAAGACTATTCAGCACACCTCCGGCTCCTTCCCTTCCACAGGGGGCAGTACGGTGTGGTGCACCAGGTTTATTATCGAGGTTTGCTCCTCTAGATCCATTGTGTTTTGCCTAGGGATTTGCACCCGCAGTTACCAGGACTACCTCGGGGAGGATGTGACTCTTCGCCACGCACAATAGTCTTGAGGTAAGAGAGGTTTTGCTAGGTCAAGAGGCTGACACCGCAATGGACGCTCCTTTCGTGAACAGATATTCACTAGACCTAGGGTGAAGTAAGGGGGGGGGGGGAAACCCACTACCCACAACACCAACACTTCTTACCCCCTGCCTCTCAAGGCTCAGTCCCCAAGAGCAGTGAAGAAACATAAGAAATGTCTGGGCAACCACTAGTATCAACAGTTAAAGAGAGAAGATGGCGCTACACTGGACACCTTCAGAGAAGAGATGAACAGAAAATCACCAAACAAGCACTGAAATGGGAAATAAAGGGACTGAGGAAGTGAGGACGTCCAAGAGAAACCCTACGGTGAACGTTGATGAGAGAAGCCAAAGGTGCTGGAATGTATTCCATCCATGATAATGAATTGACTGCACAGGGTAGAGCAGAATGGAGAGACAGACTGTAAGCCAGATGTGATATATAACGGCATAACAGGATAATGTATGAATGAACTCAACCAGATGTACAAATGGCATGAAAAGAGTTCTTAACTTCCAGTTTCCTATGCTTATGTAAACATGGTAAATGACATGTGGCTTAGGGGTTACACATGCGGTTTGTTCCAAAGTACCCCGCTCAATTCTTCTTCTTCTTCACATTCACCAGCTATAAACTCTAGGGGAAAGTTCTCGTTGTTTGCCCACTTCTTGATTGCAGTCCTGTTCCAGAACCTGGGTGTTGTGTGCAAATCCATTTTAAAGACCTGATTCATTTGTATGCAGACTGTTGGTTCCTTGCCTTTCCGACAGATGCACTCCAACTTAAAGGACAGCTACCAAGTGGTCGACTCTCACAACATGCTTTTGGGCAGGCAGTGGGTCTATTTTTGTTTCCCTACAATAGGGCCAAGGAACCCACACAGGTTGGATTGCAGGAACCTGTAAAGCATATGAAACTACCAGATACAGGGTCATTATCATGTAGGAGGTCCCTTGCAGAACATCGCTTTCATCATGGTCTGCCTGAAAGAAAGTCGGTCTCTTGCCAGCTCTCCCGCCTCATGAACTTTCATATTCAAGGAGTCACGTATATCCTCTGTCCATATTTGTGTAGGTTGGCCCCCCATCCCTACCTTCTGCTATTATTTTTTCAAATCCGCCACAGCGCTTGATATGACCAAAACATTTCAGCTTCAGGGACAAGATGCTGTTTATTAGCCAATCTTCCTTGATGTACAGATCTGTTAAAATGTCAGTATTTCTTCTCTTCTTTGTCCATGGTATTCTGAGAATCTGTCTACAGCATTTCAGCTCAAAAGCCCTTATCCGTATGTGGCAACAGGGAAGAAGCATACTCTCACAATTTTAATTTTGACTTCCTTGCTGGTGCTTAACCAGATCTTTAATGCAAAATGCAGGGTAGCTTTTAATTATTCTCTAAATGACAAACCTGTTTTGTGAGCAGGAAGTAAGCAAACATGGCCAAGCTTGTGCCGTACGTTACGAAGTACGTGATGGGTTCCATGACGTCCCATGAGTAATCCCACCAGGTCAGCCTTGCCAGGATGCCAAACTGGAAGCCCATGGCACCCATACCCAGCCACAACAAACGGTTGGTGGTCACGTCTGCTTTGCCAGACAGCTGTTGAGTTTTCTGTGAAACGTACATAAATACATCAACATATAAAACAAACACAAACATTTACAAACAAATATTTAATTACACAAACATATATTTCCTTTTATAAGACAACCCTATTTTTTTAGCTCCAAATTAAGAAAGATATTTTAAACACATCTATATATGAGACAAGGGCCCAGTTTTTAAACTTGAAAGATCTGGGAAAACATATAGTCTTATACACAGAAAAATACAGCAAATAAACACAAAAATACTATAAATATATCAAAATATAAACAATAAAATATGTAAACAGGTCACACCTCTATTTTTTTTTGGTTACGTTTTAAAGATATGCTTTTTCAGTTTGCATGATAGTTCGTGGCAAAGGGGATCAGCTGTTTGCCTCATGCTCTGAAGGTCCTGGGTTCGTCTGGCAACGCCGTTCAGTTCACGAGTGACGTTTTTACGGAGATCCCATCGTCTACCCCACCTATGGAGGTTGTGCTCTGTGTGGCACTTTGGGCAGGCAGCTAGCTGTTCTGTGGAGAGAGACTGAGCCAAATGGGATTAAGCTCAGTGCAATGAAGTCGATCCTCTCATCTTTATTTTTACCTCTGAAGAGATTAGAGCCTGATCACAAAATATTTTCAAAGACAGCGGTGAATGCAAATAGCCAAAGCAACCAAACCTCCAACACAGATAAGATATTTTTTTTTAAATTGTTTTACGTTCTACGTTTTATGTGCACATATCATCAAATGGCTCAAGGAAATGATCGTACTCAAAGGTGCCAGGTGCAAGTATAGTTTTTAGGATAAACTGTTGAGAAATAGGTGCCTATCTTTCTTAGACAATGATAAGAAATAGGGGGCATTATGTGCTCTTTGCGTTTTGAATATTTCAGCAATTCGAAAAATAGAGTACAACTCCCATTTCCCTAGCAAAATCTCCAAATGACTTCAGTTGCCCAGTAAATCTCCAAATGACTTCAGTTGCCCAGTAAATCTCCAAATGACTTTAGTTGCCCAGTAAATCTCCAAATGACTTCAGATGTCCAGTAAATCTCCAAATGACTTCAGTTGCCCAGTAAATCTCTAAATGACTTCAGTTGCCCAGTAAATCTCCAAATGACTTCAGTTGCCCAGTGAATCTCCAAATAACTTCAGGTGCCCAGGTAAAATCTCCAAATAACTCTGGCTGTCCAGGTAAAATCTCTAAATGACTCCGGCTGTCCAAGTAAAATCTCCTAATGGCTCCATCCATCCAGGTAAATCTAAAAGCGATTTCAGTTGTCCAGTTTTTCAGATAAACTCTCCAAATGACTCCACTTGTCCAGGAAAAATGTCAAAATAACTCCAACTGTTCTGGTAAAATGTCAAAAGAATCCAGCTGTCCATGAAAAATATCAAAATGACCCCAGCTGTCCATGTAAAATATCAAAATGACTCCAGTTATGCAGGTAAAATCTCAAAAATACTTCAGCTGTCTAATCAAAATATCAAAACTCCAGCTGTCCTGACAAAGCCTCAAATTAAGGCAATCTACTTAAAACAGTCTTTATAACATGTTTAGATTATGTTATACATATTTGGAATTTTGCAGGTGTTCAGGAATTCAGGCAAGAAGCAGAGAAACCCCTGTTTCAAGGACAGTGAGCACTGATGGACTGTTTCACAGTCTAATGAGGATGGTAAATCAATCCAATCAGAATAAAACAGTTCAAAACCAAGAAATACTGATATTTCCAATTCATTGTAATTCTACCAGGAGCAATGGCAGTAGGGTGACTTGACAAGTGCTGGGCCAAAGATCTGGAGTCTTAATCCAGATTGTACCCATGTGGGTTCCAGGGAAAAGGGGGGTATCCGTATCCACTGCCCACCAAAATATGTCATAAGAGCCGACTAATTAGGAGGTCGTTCCTTTGAAGTTGCAGTGCATCTGCCTGAGAGGCAAGGAACCACCAGTTTGCAGGCAAAAATGCCAGATGTGCACAATGGATCATTATCAATCATCATCAATTATCTTTATGCCTAGTGGCACATGTGGCTTCAGAGAGGACTTTCCATGCTTTCCTGTCCAGTGCAATCTTCACTGCGGTTTTTCAGGTCAGAAATGCAGCACTCAGTTCACTTTCCATCGTTTGTCTCCATGTTGTTTTTAGGCACCGCTTCTCTTTCCCTCTGGTGTCCGAATGAGAACTGTTTTGACAGGTATATCAGGATTCATTCTCATAACGTGGCCAAGCCATTTCCATCTTCTCTTGGTTATCATACTTTCTAGATTTGTGACTTGAAGTATTTTAATGTTTGAGATTGTATCTGGCTAGAAAATTTTAATAATTCTTCTTTGTCACAATATGCTTGATGGTTCAATAAAGAGAAAGTCGAGGCTCAGAGGAAAGGCAAGGCAGACGTTTAATCAGAATGCTACTGGCACCATTAGTATCGGAACTCTTCACTGGCCAAGCACTATGGGAATGCCCTGAGTGCTGTGATGTCGGTTCTTAAATCAAATCATAACGAGAAACTTGTCCTTTATTTGCTGACAAATGGGAGAGTGATAAGCATTTTGTGCAGTTTAAATGGCAAAGAACTGAAGCAATTATTGGGTCACCCGTTGTAAGGGTTTTCTTTTTCTAGTATTAAAAAAAAGGTAGCGATATTACTATAAAGTGTCTAATAAAAGGTGGAACACTCACCATAAAGCCTCTAATTAAATGGGGCGGTACTCACTTAAGGCGTTTAATAGAAGGTGATCGTATATTGTAGCCCCTGGTCATTGGTCTACCGTCTTACAACAAAGACACCAACCATGCTATCTTTGTCTTTCGATCAATCCGGTTCACCTCTTTTTCCAGGTACCACATCTTCACCCTAGATCTTATCTCTCTCTAAACGTCTATTCCACATTCTGATGGCCTCCAGGCTTTGCAGTTCTTTCTAGATCGTAGAGTCAGTGCTGCTATAGCCACTGACACTTTGATACGTCTGACTGAGTTAGTGCTCACTCTAAACTCTTTCGAGGTTAAGCGCCACTATTTCAACCAGATCAGCGGCGTCACTATTTGCACCAAGATGAGACCTAACTATGCCTGCCTCTATATGTGCTACCTCAAGCACCAGATACGTCATGGCATTTCAACGTGTCTCATCATTCTACTGGCAAGACATCAATGTGGCTGCTTCTGGATATTCAGTTAAGTGATTTTGTTTATTCGTGTGGTTTTGTTTAATTTATGTATGTGCTGATTGAGGCTCTATTGCAGCAACGTTCACATTTTGTTATAAAGTGAAGCTCGCTTATCTACTTTTTGTTCAGTTTTATTTCTTTCCTTAATAGAAGAAGGCGGTACTCACCACAAAGTTGTCTATCACAGTAACGCGTAAAACAGGAATGACATTTTTTTTTAAACGTGCCGGTACCGCATGCCCTTGCGTACTGAAAAAAAATCCCTGCTGATTGCAATGAAGTTGGAATGGCCATTAACAACTAACCTACTTTACAAACTCTACCACTTACTTCCTCTAGTGGGGCAATCTGTGTTTTCAAGTCCTCCAGCATTTTCTGCAGCTCCTTCTCCTTCTCTAGCTGGTAGTTCTCCAGGTGAATAGTGGAGTACAACTGGCTAACCAACAATTTGACATCAGTCATGTTCAAGGCATCCTCACTTGATACTGGGGCTGCACATCAACATAAAATACAGAAAACAGAATAAAGTTTCAAATGTTTCACTATAAAATGATAAATTAGTCTACTGAAATCCATGACACATGGACAATTTTAGGCAAGAGAGACAGAGATTGCCAAAGACATAAATAGACAGACACCGAGATGTAAGAATGGAGGGCTCATTTCAGAAACTGCAGAAGATCCTACACTGCCAAAATAAGGTAATGGCAAGGGATGATAACGAAACTTTGATTTTGCAGACTATTAATCCACAATATATACAATGAGAAGATGTGCAGATAAGAAAAATATCCCAGTTATTATAACTGAAAGCGAACAGAGAAAAAGAAAGAGTTAAAGCAACACAAACACTTAAAGTAATAGCGGGCACGGAGTGGGTCAAAGTAACAATCATCTGAGACTGAGCCAGCTAAGATAATAAACAGTCTGAGATTGTAGGAGTTAAAGTAACACACATTTAAAGTAACTGTTGGGATGGAGAAGGCAAAAGTAATAACTGAGACTGATGGAGCATGAGCTAAAATAACAGGGACGAAGTGTTTCAAGATGACAACAGTCTGGAACTTAAGGAGTCAAGAAAGCTGAAAGTGACTTGATGATGATGATGAAGGAAACAGATCAACAAATAATGAGTTTACTGATACAGATTAAATTAATTCTCTCTCTTTTTCCCTGTCATACACTGTAATAGACTATCTATAACATACTTTAATCAATATTCTCTCTTTCTCACTCTCTCTCTCTTTTTCTGTCTCTGTTTGTTCATTTGTTTATTCTGTCTGTCTGTCTGCATGCATGTATGTATGTATGTATGTATGTATGTATGTATGTATGTATGTATGTATGTATGTATGTATGTATGTATGTATGTATGTATGTATGTATGTATGTATGTGATGTATGTATGTATGTATGTATGTATGTATGTATGTATGTATGTATGTATGTATGTATGTATGTATGTATGTATGTATGTATGTATGTATGTATGTATGTATGTATGTATGTATGTATGTATGTATGTATGTATGTATGTATGTATGTATGTATGTATGTATGTATGTATGTATGTATGTATGTATGTATGTATGTATGTATTTATGTATGTATGTATGTATGTATGTATGTATGTATGTATGTATGTAGTGTATGTATGTATGTATGTATGTATGTATGTATGTATGTATGTATGTATGTATGTATGTATGTATGTATGTATGTATGTATGTAGGTAGGTAGGTAGGTATGTATGTATCTGAATGATGCATTTACCATCAATGCTTTGGTGTTTTTAACTTGATATTCAGAGTATGTTATTTGAACATAACATGCTTTACTGATAAAACACAACTGTGGTCTGAAAGATTATTGTGTAGAAAGGTTCAATTTCATTTGTTTGTTCCTTCCGTACACTATAACAGATTTTAACAGACTATTTTCATCATCATCATCATTATGTGCCGTGCTGACTGGCGTGGGGGATCATGCTCTCCACAATCAGTGATCTCCTGCAGCATGTATCAGTTTGTGTGCCGACATACCTCCATGCCTTGCAGCAAGACTGTCAATAATTTTCTCTTGTTGTCTTCCTCTATCCCTCCTTCCACAGATCTTTCCAGTGGTCACAACATGTTCCATTCTCCCTCTTCTCATAACCCACTATCATAAATATCATTTAAAGTTTAATTATTATTTTAATTCCAAAATCTCCCAGTGCTTCGATTTCTTCCAGTTGTCTGGCCCGGGAGCTTTTCTTTCTTCATATGATGTATTGCATCCTCAACTTCTGCAGTCATTATTGGTGGACCATTATTGTTGGCTTGCAATTCTACATCTGGTCTATAATCATCATACAATTCCCCTGTATACTCTATTCATCTGTTAATTATATTACTATGTCCCATTAATAAGTCGCCATCTTTTGATTTTAAACATCTAGTGCTGTTACGTGCTGTTAACATATTTATCTGTTGGTACATGGAATGTGAGTCTTTCATGTTAACATATTTATCTGTTGGTACATGGAATGTGAGTCTTTCCTATGATTTTTCTTTACCTCTGTACATATTTGATTCAGTCAGGCTTCTTTAGCCACTTTGTGTTTGTTCACTATTTCTAACAGACTATAACAGAATTGGGATTCCTCGTGGTGGAGCGGCTAGATGCCCGCCGCGGATCAGAGGTCGTGGGTTCGCTCCGTGGTGGAGTCGGACTTTTTTCAAAAATGACCTTGGCTCTCAGGTCGACCCAGCCTTGAGTGGGTACCGGTGTAGTCCCAGGAAGTAAAGGCGGCCGGCGTGATGCTGATCACATCACCCGTCTTGTGCTGATTGGTCTATAAAAATATAGGTCTAGCCCTATATGCCCTATACGCATAAAGGCATAGAAAAGGGTCCTTTACTTTACTTTATAACAGAATTAAATTATTACACTCTCTGTCCGAAGAAGATTAATAAAACATCTATTAGTCCCTTATAAGCACAAGTTTTTTAAACACAGACTATGAGAGATTTAATACTCTCTCTCTCTCTCTCTCATATCCTCCCCCAACTCTCTTCCCCATAAACTATAACAGACTTAACAGACAATCTTTCTTTCTTTCTGCCAATTACTGCCTTTATATACCACTTCTGCGGTTTAGGCAGGGGGGTCTTTTGAGACAGAGGATTTAAAGTTGCATGGCTAGTGCTGTCGCCACGACTGTGCAGGTGAGGATTTTATTTTGCGACCGACAGAAAAAATCTCCAGCCTTACCAAGGATTTGAAGCCGGGACTCCCGCATGACAGCCCAGCTTTCTAACCATTCAACCTAACAGACAATAATAGACTTAAATTCCCCCCCCCCCTTTCCCCTCCTCTCTCATATACTATAACATACAGGATACAAGTAAATGTAATGTGTAGAAATCATAGACCCGGCTGCTTTGAGATACCAGCTAAGTGATTTTGTGTATTAGTGGTATTGTTTGATTTGTGTGTGCTGATGAAGGCTCCATAGCCGCAAAGTTCACGTTTTGTTTGTTTTGTTATATTGTGAAGCTTGCTATTACACTTTTCGTTCGGTTTTATATCTTTTCTTGAAATAATGTAAGAGAACAACAAACAGTGATGCATACTTAACGCTGGAGGGCTGACATGATAGTTGTGGCCGTTAATGTCAATATCAAATTCAGATCTCAGCAGAACATCAATGGAGGTGGATTTTGCAATTCTGCTACCATCTGATTACAGAAAATAATAACTGATACAGTGTTGGAAGCAAAGATAATATAAATCAGAATTTGTAAACAAAATATGTTGCTGTTGTCAAAAAATGTCTTATTTTTTGTTTAAGAACAAAAAATTACATAGTTTTTTGTAAAGATATATGCTGCCATTGTAAAATAATATACTTGACTCTTTTCTCTCTTTAAACAAAGTTAGAAAAAATGTATCTGTACCGAGAAGGCAACATCCTTCCAACAGAAGACAATCCTACATATTTGGAAGTCAAATTCGACAAAAGATTAACCTGGGGCCCCCACACTGAAGACACGCAAAGGAAAGCTACCCTGCGGCTTATGCTTATGAAGAAACTTACTGGAACAAGCTGGGGTGCAGATGCCAACACTGTACAACAAGTATACACAGGATACATACGACAAAACTGGAGCACAGCGTGGAAGCATACTCCACTACAGTCAAATCAAACCTAAACAAAATGGACAAAATACTTCTGGCCACCAGAGTTTGAGCCTTCGAAAGGAAGAAAAAGTGCTTACCCTAACAGAAAAATTTAAACGCAAGAACAACAACCAAATGCACAGAATAGCAAACAACTTAACCAAGAACCAATTGAAAAGACAAAGCTTCCAATATCTGTCAAAATTGTTCTGCGCCAAAAAGAGTGACATCCTATCCAAAGATCCTCTAAAGTGGGAAATGATCCAGACAAACAACATAGAACTATAGCAGTCACAACAACAATCTCAGCCACAGTCAGAAAGACAGAAGAATGTGAACTAGTACTGCAAGCAAAGATTCTTGACCATGTTCCAGCATGTGATCCGTCGGTGATAGATTATGGACTTGGAATGCTTACCATATCAAAGAGTCAGCTTATAAAACTCGAATGCATACAGATTGAAGCCATGTGGGTAATTCTGGGATGTACAAGAGATACGCCAGTAGTATGTATGCAATATATTCTTGCACTGCCTACTACCACAGACAGGCACTGCAAGGAGTTACAAGGGGATCTGGCCGATGCTCCACACTCAGAGGAAAGGCAAGACAGATATACAACCAGACAGTTACTGGTACCATTGGAATTGGAACTCTTTTCTTGCTGCTGAAGATGGGCACTGAGCACTTATGGAAGTGTCCTGAATGCTGTATTGTGATGTGGATTCTTAATTCAACATTCAGTTTCTTGACCATGTCTTGACTCTTATCCAAAACCCCAGCGGACACATGCATACACCGTTGAATCACTGGAGGGAGCAGCAAAAAATGGAGGAGCTGGTTCGGTCATCATGTTGCAAGAAGGAACCACAGTGGAAAAATCATCTGCCTCCGGGAAACTCTCAACAAACTTCAGAGCAGAGCAGCAAGCAATTACTGATGCAACCAAAGTGCTTGAGAACAGAAATGTTCAAAACAGGAAAAAATGTTTTCTATGTGACTGCAAGTCCTCGAGGCGACTCAAAGGGATCCACAAGACAACACGGACAGAGAACTGACCTGCCAGCTAAACAAACTCGCAGAAAACAATCAAATTGTTCTCCAGTGGATTCTGGCTCACTGTAGCATTCCAGGAAATGAATTAGCAGACAGACTTGCAAAAAAAAAAATTGAACAAAGGAGAAACACCATACCCATTTATTTATATAAAAGGAATTGTGGAGAGAACAAACCAACATTAAACTTCGGCAAGACCTAATCAGCAGACTCAACAGAAAGCACCATGCATAAAAACAGGGCATTGCAGGTTTCAACTACCACATGCATAACATAAAGATTATACAGTACCCCACAGTGTGCATGTCAAACAGGACCACAAACAACTGAGCACAATCTGCAGACCAGCCCACTCTACTTACAACTTCAAAAAGAAACCTGGCCTCAAAAGCAAAGTGTGCAGAGCAGACTATGGGGAACCATGCAGGACCTGCAGCTGACATGCTAGTTCATAGAGACAATCCCCCTGACAGTTTGACCTCAGCACACGAAACCGAACACAAAGAAGAAGAGGAAAAAACAATATGCTGTCACTGTACAAAAAATATGCTACCACTGTAAAACAATATGCTGCCACTGTAAAACAATATGTCGCCACTGTAAAACAATATGCTGCCACTGTAAAACAATATGCTGCCACTGTAAAATAATATGATGCAATTGTAAAACAATATGCTGCCACTGTAAATCAAAATGCTGCCACTGTAAATCAATATGCTGCCACTGTAAAACAATATGCTGCCACTGTAAAACAATATGCTGCCACTGTAAAACAATATGTCGCCACTGTAAAACAATATGCTGCCATTGTAAATCAATATGTTGCCATTGTAAAGAAATGTGCTGTCACTGCAAAGAAATATATGCCATGTAAAGAAATGCATTCTTCTTATTCTTCCTTCCTCCTCTACCCCTTCAGGTGTCGAGGCAGTCATGAGGTTATAATTCTTGCTCTTCTGGCTGTCTAAACCATAGACATCATAGTGTTGTAGAATTTCTCTGATGTTATTTTTCCATGTGGTTCTTGGTCTACCTTGTACTCTATGTCCCTTTCCTCTTTTGAAAACCAGTATGCCTTGTGTGGTATATGGTATCGCAAGGCTTTCTCTTTAAAAATACAAGCAATTTTATTTGCTCTCTTTTTACAAGAAATGCTTTACCTTTTGTAAAGAAATATGTCTTTCTTACTTAGTCGCTCCTCTTCTACTTTAGGGTGTAGAGGTTTGCCAGAGAGATTTCCATTCCAGACTTCTTTATCAGCAGTTTTCTTTTAGCTTTGTTCCATTCCAGTCCTCTGCCAGTCAGGGACTGTTGGAGGTTGTCTTCCCAGCGCACCCTGGGTCACCTAGGAGGTCTGGTTCACTGGTTCTTAGCCTCCCATGCCTGCCATGGTGGCAGATTTTCTCCCATTCTGTATACATGTCTAAACCATCATAAATGTGACCGATCCACTGAGTTTGCAAGGCCTGGATTTCAAGATCTTGACGCATTGTCTGATTGCAAACTTTGTCTCTTCTTGTCACTTGGACCACCTTTCTCAGATATCTTATTTCTGAGGCCTGAAGCTGGCTTCTGTGAGCTGTTGTCACTTCCCATGACTCACATCCGTAAGTCAGGACTGGCACATAGGTAGAGCGGTAAATAAGAATGGCCTGGAAAAGTCTCCCAGCAGCTGCTTTTCAAGTAGCCAGCTCTGTCTTAATGCCTCTATTTCAGTCTATTACAACTTCTAGGTATTTGAATTGATTGACCTGCTCAAGTGCATACTATCCCCTCATGATATGGTATTTCTTCTCCTTTCTTGATTTCACATAAGTGTTAAATATTTTAAGTCTGATTCCAGTTTTCATTTTCTCTGATTCCCACAGATTTGTTTGTGCTATGAGAATTCCTCTTGTCTTTTGTATTTGTAAACTGTATATGTCCATCAATTCCCTTATTTTTATGTACATTACAAAGGAACTGAGCTGTGGTACTGTGTGGCAGAAGCTTGCCTACTGACCCAAAGGTTCAAATCTGACAGCCAAAAATAGGCACCAGAAAATGTCCTAGGAAGTAAAAATAGCTAGCAAGATGCTAACCAGATCACCCATTGAGCTCTATTTGGTGTATAAAAATATGCATTTAGCATCAAATTCATGAAAAGGGTCCTTTACTTCTCATCTTCTTCTTTCAAAAACTACCTTAGAAACTTAAATAACAGACAAAAACTATACACTGTACAATTTATTGCCTGATATATTTTAATGTAATTTACCAGATTCATTACTAGTTACATTAACATTTAAAAAAAGGCACACACAAAGAAAAATGTGTCCTTTTCACTAAAATACGCAAATCACAATGCCAAGCTTTAGTGTAATCTAACCATTGGAAGTTCAAGATAGTCATGTCTTTGTCATGGAAGTTTGACATTTAGGACATGCTCTTTTTGTTTGCACAATGCAGGATTGTTTATTTTTAATGCCAGTGCTTAAATTCCCTATGTGAAAAAATGTGCTTTGAATACATAAGAAAATGTTTACCTTTTGTAAAGAAACTAACTGTGTCAATCCCACCATCCTCCTCTTTGATAAACCTTGCAAGATCACCCACATTCTGAGTCAGAGGCTTCAGCAGGAACTCACAAGTGGCTTGTTTCGAAGGCAGGGTTAAGGCAATGACTGGAAGTCCTTCTCTATGAAAAACTGTTACATCTGAAATCACATTAAATGGAGATGTCAACAAGTTTGATTGACCGACTGCTCACCCCTTTCTTCACCACTGTGGCAAAGTGGTCAAGCCGTCTGCCTCATGCTCTGAAGGTCGTGGGTTGTGCCCTTCACGAGTGCAGTTTTTACGGAGATACTTGGGGATCATCACCGGAGCTACGAAGTTAATGCTCTGTGTGGCGCTCTGGGCAGGCGGCCAACCATTCTGCGGAAAGAGACCGAGCCATATGGGATAAAACACAGGTGCAATGAAGTTGATTTTCTCGACTTTAATCTTATAATTTCCACTGCTGTTAAGTTTACCCTGACCATTTGCTCTTTACTACTGTTAAAGTCAAGCAGTCTTCTACTAAATCACGTGCAGCTGACTGTGAATCCTGGTTTATCAAGATTGTGAAACTGTATTCACAATCTGCAAGCCCCATATATGAGCTTGAAATAAAAAATGTTACAAACTTCACACATTGGAAGATAAAATTAAGAGATCAAAACAAATTTATGCAAGAACTCTTACTGTTTTTAATATACACATTACCTGTTTTAGAAAAAGGCTGGGAGCTGAAGAGGCGAGTGTAACTTTGCTTAGGACAAACATTTATGATGATAACCTGCAAAAGAAAAACCTCTCATTACATTTTATGTGTGTGTACGCTCACACACGTGTGTGTGTGTATGTTTGTGAGACATGGGGGGGAGGGGGGGGGCAAGAAGGCAGTGTTTGGGGGGAAAATACAGATTGTAATAAAAACTGGTACAATGCTTGAACTCCTTTGCCCCATACAAATTGTTTATAAAACAATATTTTAAATTTTTTATTAAAAACAAAAGCATTATTATAAAGCTCTGAAAGTCTACCCTAAGAAATTAGAGTTATTACTTTCTGCAAAAGTGATTTTTTTTTAATTTTTCTTTATGCGAAGGCAAATATGTTGAATGCTGAATTAAGAATCCACATAACAGCACTCAGGACACCCTCATAAGCGCTCCAACCCCATCTTCAGCAGCAAGCGAAGAGTTCCAATTACGATGGCACCAGTAACTGTCTGATCAAACATATGAAGGCAAGTAATCACTAAATACAAACGGAACAAAGAATTAGCCGCTTTCCTTCTTAAGAGAGTTAACAAAAAGAATTGAGCAAAAGTAATAACCGGGAATGTTATAGGGGGAAAAAAAACATTCACAGCGATTCAGTCCACTAAAACAATGTGAAGGAAATAAAAGCAAAATCTTTTCTTAAACCCTCTGAGAATGCCATTTGTGTGTGTGTGTGTGTGTGGTTTTTAGGGGTTTGAGTTATGAGTAATGAGTTAGATTATCTTCACAGCATTCCGAGGGCACATCCACAGGCGCTCAGATTAATCTCTCAACATATTCATCAGCGTCGCGCGGTTAATAGTGCCAGTCATATGTTGGTTAACAAGACTTCCTGTGCGTCCGGTGTGCTTTTCATGCTTGGCTGTGCCGATATTTACTCCCAATTCTCGTATTCTTAGCAGTAATGTGGACACATTGCTTCCAAAATCCTCAGAATGTCCTATCTCTCTAAGGGCAATAACAATATCTGCATGATCTATGAGCAGGCCATCTTCAATGCAGCACCTACCAGTCTATCATCTCTTTCATTACCAACAACGCCTGCATTCCCTGGGAATATGAAGGTAACTGCACACACAGGAGAGTTTTGCAATGACTCAAACCACTGTCTGCATAACCAGCCTGCCTCGTCCAGCCAGATTTTAGAGGTTTTTGATGACATGATGACTTTAAACAGTGCCCAGCACATCTGCACGGCAGCTTTGGTACTGGTGGCAAGCTGCAGAGTGTGTAGACATGGTGGATAATTTATTCTATTTATCCCCAGACAAAAAAGCAGCATCCGTGGCTTAGGCGTTGCGAGTCCGAATCGCAATTTCAATGTACCGTGATCAAAACCCACTGCTGGCTGCGTGGATTTAAATGGTTTAAAAAAGAAATATTAAAGTAGAACCACCTTCAGGAACCATAAAATCAAACCTATTAAATTATGAGTGATTTTAACCACATAGATGGACGTTAGGGCGTTGCAAATTATGTTTCATGATGAAATCTGAAAATTATATGCAAATTAGATTCCATTATGGCCACATCATATTTCAAACTTCTTTGGTTTTTTTTTTTTTTTTAATAAAAATGATATCTCATCAACCAAGCCACTCTTAACCATCACATTTGGCCCATATGTTCACAAAAGGATGTTCTAGGGCTCTAGTAGAATTGTTTAATTCTGCTGAAATGTTTTTCGTGTGAATTTATTTTTAATATTGAGTATTCCAAAATGCACTATTTTTGCTAACTAAATAATCCAGTAAGTAACAAATAAACAGGTGGAGATTTGCAGATACTGTTCCGGCAAACCCTTTTACGGAGTGCACTCTAGCCAAGAAAGACAAGAATTACCGAAAGTCAAAAATGAAAAGGAAATGCGCAAACTGCTTCGGAAATCACCAGGTGCAGTCCTGGGAAGCAAAGGTGGCCGGCATGATACTGACCACATCACCGGTTGGTCTATAAAATATAGGTCTAGCACTATATGCCCTATACCCCTAAAGGTGTGGAAAAGGGTCCTTCACTTTTTTACTTAACACCGCAAGTCGCCGAATATATAAACAGTGAAACAAGTAGAGAAAACAACCAGGACGCAGCAACAGAAGAAGCAGCACAAGTCCCAGGCTACAGAGATGGCGAAAGCAGTGTGAAATGCCGCCACCACTGGCAACGAAGACAAGAGGCTAGCTGAACTGAAAGAACCGCAGATCTCGATTAAAATAAAAACACAGAAAAGCTCAACAGAATCAGAAAAGAGTGTAATGCCAAGATGAAAAAAAAAAAAAAACATAAGTCAAGCAGCAAAACCTGGACGAACAATGGGAGAAAATCCAGCAAGCAATGGGAAAAGCCGGCCTTTCAGAAGATAAGATCGAAGCCACAGACCTAGCCTGTAGGGTAGTGGTTAGATTTGATGGTCATGTAACCTCCCTGTCGAGGACACCTTGGTGATTCTGAGAACTGGCCATTTCGCACAGATTAGAGGTCAAAGCCGTTATCTCTAAGAAACTATATGAATGCTAAGAAAAGTGTAAAATATTTTTACAGTGACAAAAATGTGTAAAATGTTTACAGTAACAATAAGGTGAATACATTTTTACTTCATTACCTTTCGTTGATGTCTCTGTAGGCTGAAAGAGCAGGAAGAAAACAATTCTGACTTCCGTATACAAAATCTCCCACACAGAAGTTTTCTCAGTGGAAATGCTGAGGCTGTCATTTTTGCCTGTTTGTATCAAATTAGAATTTGCGTTAAATTTCTAAAAGGAAAGATAACCACATTCTTCACAGAATATTAATGTATTAACCCTTTCAGTATCATGCAGCTTCACCAGCTACTTGGTAGTGAGCAATGTTAAGCCATTTTACATGGCACATATAATTCTAGTCACAATTATAACCAAAAGCATCCCCCTTTGGGGATGCTGGTTGAACATGACAATTTTGTTTTTTTCCGTCAAAAATGGAACCAACACAAATTTTTGTTTCCACCAGGTTATGTAAGATTACTTTTCAACATTAATATCTTTTTCATATTCTAATCTTAATAGAACTGAGGTTGTCGGGAACAGATAGCTAGCTGGTGAAACAGAGGCATCAGTGCAACAGCGGATCAATGACAATTCAAACCAGGTGACATCGCTATACACAGATACATTTCTAGTGGAAGGTAAAACGAGTGGGTGCAGTATCAGTGCAAACGAGAATGGACATTGTTTAAAGAAGGACAATCTCACAAGAGAATGGAGGTAGAGGCAGTAACGACAGCTTTTCAATGGCTTTAGAGTACTACAGCCTATGCTGAAAAAGCAGCAGCTCTGCAGTAATGGAGATCAATTATGAATGCCTTATGCGTAAACAACGACAGGAAGAGGATATTGAGACAGAAAGAGTGAGTGGGCCCAAAAAAATTTACAAAAGTTTGCCAACAGGCATATCTTCTTCTTCTTCTTTCATTCGCCTAAAATAAGATGTCTATTTCAGCAATTTTCTCGCTTGTATAAATTTCACTGTCGTTGTTAGTTCATTCAGTGGTCCATAGAGTTTACGTTCCACTGTTGTTCTTTCTGGCCAAAATGTTTGCCTTAATGTGTCAAATTTGGTGCAGTCCTGGAGTACATGCTCTGATTGCTGTCTGGGGCACCTTTCCACAGTGCACATGGCTGATACACCTATCTCGAATTTTGTGTACATGTGGTTTTGTAATCGGTTGTGCCCTGTTCTGAGACGGAAGATAATGACTTGTTCTGGTCTGTCCATCCATAATAAAATAGTCGTCTTGTGCTGGGGCTGTTGTTTTCCTGATCGATTTGTGGATTCTTTTTTTGTGTGTGGCATGTGACTGGTACATCTGGCTGCACTTGTGTCGCACCTTTCCCTGCCAGTTAATCAGCTTTCTCATTTCCAGGCACTCCAAAATGAGACGGTATCCACTGCATTACGACTCTTCGCTGAAGGCTGAGTTGTGTCAGCAGTGTTTGCAATTCTGGTAGTTTCCTATACTGGAGTGCTTCAAGTACGGATTTAGCATCTATCAGCATTACCACATATTGTGAGCCAAGATTAGTATTTAGCAATTTCTCTGTTGCTATCTTGATAGCCTGAGTTTCTGCATCATAGTTATGGCAGTACTTCCCGGTTGGTATGCTGGACTTCTCCCTAGTACGATCTGGGAATTCTATTTACACTCCAGCAGCACCATTTCTAACTGCACTTTGTGAGGATCCATCTGTATAAACTCTGACCCATTGTTATTGTGGGTATTCTTCATCAATATAACTGAGGGTGGCCATTCTGCGTTGTACACTATCTTGCTCTTTCTTGTCAAATATCCCTTTCACTTTTGTTTGGATTTGTACTGCAAACAGGCATATGAGTTTAAAAACAAAAATAGATTTCCCTTTCAGTATGGTTCATGTAGCATAATGACGTCTTTAAAAATGCATATCTTCATTTACAGTGGACACAGATGAATGAATTATATACGGTTGAATGAGGCCTTTCAAATCTATTCAACCATGCAGCTGTCATATGGGTTTTTAAAAATAAAATATGGAAGAGTTTTACAATACCTAGAAATACAGGTAATGTCTGCTGATGGCCACACACTAATCAGCTGGCTATACAGTAAGATTTTTCTTATATAATATAAACATAAAATTTTAAATAATTCTACATGTAGTTATAACTTGGAATATATACTAGATTCAACTGCATTTTCAGTTTATACTTTTGCAATTTTATACAAAAAATAATCAATAATATCGATAGACAAAAGATCAAATGGTTTGGCCATGTAACAAAATTTGCATCAACAGAGCCCCACAGCAATATTATACAGATACAGGGGTAAGAGAGCTGGAGGTCAACCACACAGAAAATGGACAATGGAAATATCAGAGACACTGAAAAGTACTTTATGAAGCGAACAGAAGGGCTTGTTTCAGAGATCTTTTCTCATCTCTTCCTGTCCTGAAGCTGAGAGGCATTCTATGAATAGTAGTAGTGGTAATTTTTCAAAAATATCCTGTTCAACCCTCAGGGTTATAATTGGGATATACAGTGTTAATTGAGATCTTCTTCTTCTTCTTCACTTTCTCTTTTACCGCCACGGGTGTCGAGGGAGATATAAGGTTCTGTTTCTAGCTCTTCTGGCCGCCTCGACCATAGGCACATCGTGCTGTTGTAGAGTTTCTCTGATGTTATCCTTCCATATTGTTCTTGGTCTGCCTCATGCTCTATGTCCTTCTTCTCTTTCCATGTATGCTTTGTATGGTATGGTGTCACAAGGCATTATTAATTGAGATCACAGAGCATATATTTGTTATATATAAACTTTTATCATGTAACTATTTATAAGACCAAAATGTAATGTGTGTTGTTACACATATTGCTTTGATTTCAGTTGAGATTATGATAGAAACTGTATTAAGAATAATTAAATAGTCCGGCTATCCTCCGAATAACGGCCACATATTATGGCTGCCAAAAACATACTCTGACAGGGCCTCAGTCACATGTAAATTGCGGACTTCCTGCGACTATACCGCCACCGCCGAGAGTATCTCCCATGCCGCTACGCACAGAGTGGGGCTAAAATAGATGGCTGGAACTCATGAGCAGCAGGTTCTGCATCTCCTGCAGCTTTGCTCGTGAGTCACAGCAATCTAGTTTAGACCCGCTCCGCGCGTAGCAGTGCGGGAGATACTCTCGGCGGTGGCAGTATAGTCGCCAGAAGTCCACAATTTACATGTGGCAGAGGAACTGTTTTTGGCCGCCATAATATGTGGTCGTTATTCGGAGGATAGCCCACAGTCCTACTAATACTGTCATTAACATGGTGGATATATTGTTTCCTTAATGTGCAATTATTGATTATACTCCTCGATTTTATCTTTAGGGGAAACTTCTTCAAAGATGCGGTTCTTCTTGCAATAACGGTCGCTACTTGGACGGCAACGGCCGCTTAGTCGGAGTTCAGTCCCCTGGCTGCAGTGCAATTACGGAGTGGACAAGGCACGAATCACAAAACAGAGTGAGTTCAACATGGCGTCTAGACCACGCGCTGCAACTCAAATTAGCCTAACCCTAACCCAAACCCTACCCCTAATTAAGCTATGTCACTTGTGTTGTTCCCTTTTTTCCACTCCGTAATTGCACTGCAGCCAGGGGACTGAACTTCGACTAAGCGGCCGTCGCCGTCCAACTAGCGACCGTTATTGCAAGGAGAGCCAAAGATGCCATGGGCTTTCTTTACCCTTCTATATATGGATTTTAGCCCTAGTAATAAACTGCTTGACCTTGCCATGCAACTCTCTGGGGCTGTTTATGTGTAGCAAATTTTCCATTGTCATACGTAATTTACATAGATTCATATTATGCAGTCAGTTAATTATTTCCTTTGGTTTTGATATTTCATATATCCTGGAGTGACTCCAGCACATAGGGCTCTATAGTATTGTATTTCTGACATACATTTCATTACATGTTTCTTCCTGTATGGTAAAGCATGACCACCTAAGCTGTAGTCTACTAAACAATTTACAATTGTATGATATTTTAAGTTCACCTGTTATCTGACCTTGTCCTTCTGGAACATTTAACTTATATGAATGTCTACCCTTTAGGCTGTGGTCGCAACTCAAGAGCCAATCCTCTAATATACATTTTTTGGCTATTAGTATCAGTGATTTAATGTTTCCTGTGGTTACACATGGGTAGAGAAGTCTGAAAAGAAGAAGACGCACCCGCACTGCTAACAACAGCTAAACTAAATCGAATGTTGCATACAAACATGAAATATGTACCTCTAACACAACCGCAAATAAATACGAATACATTTACATTATAAGTATATTCACACTTTCGATGAATGTTCATTGAAATTTCCCTGAATGATAAATGATCATTTTCATGAACTTAAACGACCGCACTTAAATAATAAAAAGTGCTAGGCAGTGGTGTTATATACAGACATCTCACAAACACATTGTTATGGACAAGCATGCATATGTAATTCGCTTACAAGCTTTCCAGAGCGTTTAATAATAGATGATGAACATTTTCAGCATCAGATTACTCTATTCATGAAGTGCTCCATTTTTTTAGGGTCAGTGTAAATAACAAAATATACACGCAAGCTCCGGGTAATTTCATGGTTGTGATTCTGCTGAAAGCCTGATAACTAGATTTATCATTCAGGTGGAAAAAACTTGCGATTTACGTCTAAAACATAATAAATACTAGAGTACATAACTTACTGGAGTGTGGAAAGTACAACCCAAACAATTCTTATTCAATAAGCGATTTAATCCGTTGCAGTCAGCTTACGACAACAAAAACGACCCTCTATTCCTAGGAATTTGTAATCGTCCCTTTCTCTAGACATGTTTATAAGTTTTCTTTTTTAAGTTTTTTTTTTAACTCTTGTTTGGCCTGTTGTGCTATTATATGTCAAACAGCTTTTGCAGTATATTACTCCAGTCCGTTCTATCATGTGCATTTACTTAGATATCATAGATGGAATCCAGTCCAGTAGTTGGCATCTCCTTTTTTTTGGGGGGGGGGGGGGGTGAAAATTGTAGCACGTAAACTCACTGATGACATGGAAAAGCATGACAGGCTACTTTCCACAGTTGGAGGCTACAGGTGAAACAAAGAGACATAGCTCAATGCAGCAGTCTTCGCCTGTGAAGTCTATGGAGGTTTTCAGGTGAGAGAAGAGACATGTTCAGCTGCACTAGACTTAGAGGATGCGTACAACAGAGTACCATTTGAATACTTGGTGCAGATACTTCTCTAACTGCAAGTATCTTCCTTCATCACCCGCTGAGTAGCCGCAGCACTTTTACAGAGACGGGTGATACTCAGGTGTGGTTCTTGGCCCTCAGAACCGATAACCGTCAGTCCAGGATTACCTCAAGGTTTTCCGCTGTCTCCAGTTCTATTCAACGTGAACACAGTGCTGATAACTGAGCAGCAGGACCTTGTCATTTACTGATGACATCTTGGTATATCGACATGGAAGAAATCGTTAAGATATTGCCAAGTCAATTCAGGGTGAACTTGATCGCATCTCCTCCTCGTGTGCAGATTCTAATGCTCAGTCAACCCTGCGAAGGGGGTCGGTAACATGGTTCTCATTGAACACGCATATAGTGAAGGCAGACTTACCAGCAGTGGAAAGCAGCGAGGACATTTTGACGAGAACAAATAAGATCACATACCTAGGAGTGAGGTTTGATCACAGCCTGTCATTCAAAGAACATGTTGACCGTGTTATAACAAAAGCACGCAGAGGCCTGTCAGCAATTAGGGCCCTGGTCGCGGCTAACACTGAGCAGAGACTGCTGCTGCTTCTGTTCCAGGGACGTACTCTCTCCCATCGAATATGCCCTAGCTATCCTCACTGTCAGCCATACTCAGACTGAAAGACTTGAGAAGGTGCAAAACGAAGCAATGAAGTAACAGAAAGTGTATTGATCGGCACTCATAGAAAGAAGTAGACAGATAAAAGAACACACTAGACAACATAAAAATCGACAGCTATAGTTACCGTGCCGGGAATTGAACCTGTTACCTCCAGGCGGCGTCTGCGCCTCGCCATGAATACAAGTGCACTAAGAACATGGTCAACTAGGCAACCCAAAAAAAGGTGTCTTATTGGTCATGTCTATCGTAAAAGGAAGCAGTGCGCATTATTCTGGGGTGCACTGGAGACACTTCTTGTGTAGCAATGAGGTACCTTCTTGACTTCCCTACCATGAACACAAGTATCAAGATCTGGAGGGCTCGTGCATACCTCAAGATAAGCTCAGATCTGAAGCACCCTTTGCACAACATGCTCTTCAAGAAAAGTGCTTAAAAGGGGCAAATCGTGGCTGGATAGGGCAGAGGATGACATCGTGCAGGTCTGCAGCCTTTCAGATATCCATCTAGGTGAGGAATGGATACAAGTGTCTAAAGCACCCAATCTCACATTCTCCTGTGTCGTGACGCATGATAGGAGTGGTCGGGAGCAGAATCCAGCTGCTGTCAATGCTGAGGTATGCACGCTTATCAGTGACAAGTTAGATAAGACAGACATGGTGATCTTCACAGACGGGTCCGTTATTTGGGGACATAAGAGTGCATGGGCATTTACAGCTCGCTCTTTAGACAGAACAGCTAAAAAAAGCCAGCGGTGCCTTCTCCATGACTACCAGCAACATGACGATGGAGGTGATGTCGGTGACCCAGGCTTTCATGTGGCTAGAATCACAGGACAATTCCCGCGTGTGTGTGCTGAGTGATTCTTTGAGCATGATCCGCCGGGTCGAGGCAGGCTGTTTACGCAGACAGTGGTTTGAGTCATTGCAAAACTCTCCTGTGTGTGCAGTTACCTTCATATTCGTCCCAGATATGCAGGCGTTGTTGGTAATGAAAGAGCTGATAGACTGGCAGGTGCTGCATTATTGAAGATGGCCGGCCCATAGACTACGCTTACATTGTCAATGTCCTTAGAGAGATAGGATGTTCTAAGGATTTTAGAAGCAACGTAACCACATCACTGCCAAGAATACGAGAACTGGGAGTAAAGATCGGCACAGCCAAGTGTGAGAGGCAGACCGGACGCACACAAAGTCTTGTTACCAATCTAACACTGGCACTATTAACCGCGCGACGCTGATAATTATATTGAAATATGGATGTGTCCAGAGTGCTGTGAAGATAATCCAACTCATAACTCATAACTCTTATACCCCCCCCCCCCCCCCCTATCTAGGAAATAATGGGCCGAAACAATCGTCGACGAAGGATATTTCTACTGATGATCAAAGGATCCCTGCTGTACATGCTTCCCTGTGGAGTTCTTCTTTTTGTACGTGGCTAGTCCACAGACAACATGGATAGACTGTTGACTATCGGAATAGACCTTTTGACGCCCTGGGAATACTGGCGCCCCAGCAACGCCTGGCTGTAATCTGGCCCTCTGGCAACAGAGGGTCGACTGACGACCGGGTTGGCTGATCACCGCTAACTCAGTATAATCATGTGATTGCGAAAGCTACAACTATAAATGAAATGTGCCCTCATGGTCCTTAGAAAGAGAGGGCGAATAAAGCACCCACCTCTTTTGATGCCAACGGTAACAACCCAACAGTCCCCGGACTGAGATTGGCCGGGCTGGATATGTACATGTGGAAGAAGCATCATGGGGGAGCATGGTCTTGGAGCGCATGCCTGAAGGATGCAATGCGAGGGTGCGCCATGCAGTAAGCGTCGGCGCATAGCTACTCCTATAGTTAATGAGTCGTCAGGGAACGACGGGCAAGGTGAACCCCACTCGCCCGAAGAGGCTCAATACGTCGACCACAATTTTCAAATATCCGACAAAGTGCGGACGAAGATCAAGTTTCCACCCGCAAGCGATAGGGTAATGTGGTGCACGCTGGAGGGTATACTTTGTGAGAAAATTAGTGGTGAACTTTAAAGAAGTTCGCTAGGTGACCAGCTAACACGGTTTGGTAACATAATATACAATCACTGTGCCCGAGAGTTCGGGACAGTCGAGAAGACACAGCCAGGCGTCACGCACGAAAAAAAAAAAAAAAAACAACAGGAGGTAGAGAGACATCGAGAAGTGCCGAGCAGACAAAAACGTAATCAGAAAACGGTTTAAAGCCGCTACAGGCAGCGAACGAGAGGGTTTGTACGCGGTCTGACTGCATCTAAAGAGCAGACACAGTGCCTTCTGTCGCTCTAAGCGTTTCTGTAAGAATAGTCAGAGAATGAAAAAAAAGCGAGAGAAGTTCTTTAGGGACCTGTTCTAGTTTGCCCGATACCTGTTCAACCAACCAAAGTCTTCGATTCTGGTGGTCGGTAAAGAGGAGCTGCAGTCACATCTACTTAAGATGTACTCTGATCTGACAAGGAATGAACCTTTCGATGACAACCCATTTATCACCAGAGGGTTAAAGCGGCCGGAATTGCTAAAGGCACCGTTCAAAACGATGCCTCCCTCTTGGTCTGAGGTCGAAGACGTTGTGAAGAGAGCCAGCGACAAATCTGCACAAGGATAAAACGGTATGCAGAGCTTGGTGTATAAACGCTTTTGGAAAGTCCTTCAAATGCTTCACCGAGTCCTAAGATTAGCGTGGAGCCGAAAGCACGCATGTACCCAGTGGCAGAGAGCCAACAGAGTCTACATTCCTCCAGTCTATCCTAATCCAAACCTATCTCGCTGTTAAACGTTAAGGGCAATGATATTCTTCTCGGTTATGGCACGCAGGCTCACATAGTATTTGATGGCGAACAAATGCATTGACATGTGTGCAGAATGGGAGAAAATCGGCCACCATGGCAAGCATGGGAGGCTAAGAACCAGGGAACCAGACCTCCGGGAGGACCCAGGGTGCGCTGGGAAGACAACATCCGACAGTCCCTAACTGACAGAGGACTGGAATGGAACAAAGCCAGAAAGAAAACTGCTGATAGAGACGTCTGGCGATCTCTCTGGCAAACCTCTACACCCCAAGGTAGAAGAGGAGCGACTAAGTAAGTAAGTAAGTAAAGTAACAAATGCATTGATACAATGATTCAGAAACCCGCCGTTGACAATTATTTGTTTTGTATTACGATTGTTTTCGTCTCTGAAGACAGACAACTTTTATAGGAACCGGTGACTGGGAATTTATGACAGTGTTGTTTGTTGACGAAAGGGAAGATGTCTGCAACGACGACGCTCAATGCTGAGGTGAGACAGAGGCAGGTTAATTCATCTGGTCTTGAACAGATTAATCAAAATGGTGTTGATAATAACGAAACATCGGCAAGGAAGGAGGAGGTAATGTTTAGTTAGTGCGTTTTGTTATTTATGTTAATTTAGTCTCTCAAAGGGGCATTTAATTTTAATTAATAATTAATTAAAATCAATTAATTAATTAAATGCTCGCTGTGATTTTGATTTATGATTACATTATGATTATTTTATGTGCCTTTGTTGTTTCTTACTGTGTTGTATTGTGATGCAGTTGAGACGAAATAAACCAAATATTGAGCTATCCTCCGAATAACGGTCCCAAATTATCGTAGCGGCTCGGGGGATACAGTCGGCGGTGTGGTATAATCGTCAGAAAGAGGTCCGTAATTAACATATCACTGGGTATTTGTTCGGCCTCAATAATATTGGCTTGTTATTCGGAAACAATCCTAGTTTTGCTGCTATTTGTTCCTCGGCAGGCACTCTGCATTTTACACACGACTGAGGCCCTGTTAGGGTATTTGTTTGGACGCCATAATGCCGGGGTAGAAGTTCGGAGGAGAGCCGGGATGTGTCTTATCCCCAGACCTTTTCTCTCTATATAGCTAAATAATTTTGAGACAAATTAAAGAGAATGCAGGAGTAAGAGTTAGAGGATACAATAACAATTTGCGTTATGCACACGATACAGTTTTGATAGCTGAAAATAAAACTGATTTACAACTGCTGGATATTGTGGGGATGGAGAGTGCTAAGAAAGGACTTTCTTTAAATGTTAAGAAAACGGAAGTAATGCTTATATCAAAGAAGAAGATAACTCCACGTTGTGATATCTCAATTAAAGGAAAAAGACTTAACCAAGTCAATAAAGTCACATATCTGGGAACAGTCATATCATCAGATGGAAAATGTGTGATAGAGATTAAAACGCAGAATAGTCAAGCAAAAGCTGCATTTCAGAAAATAAAAAAAAATATGTAATAAATCGTTCTTCATTTAATGTCAGAAAAAGGGTGCTAAAATGTTACATAGAACCTGTTCTGCTGTATGGCAGCGAATCTTGGAATGTCAGTGAACAAATTAGGAAGATTTTGTAAGCAACAGAGATGTGGTTTCTAAGTCGAATGTTACGAATACCTTGGATGGGCAAGGTAACTAACAAAGATTGCTTGAAAGAAGCTAATGAAAGTAGATCTCTATATACAACAATATGAAAGAGACAAACACTGTTTTTTGGCCACAAATCGAGAAGAGAGACATTGGAGAACATTGTGACAACTGGAAAGATCAGTGGAAAAGGGGTAGAGGCAGACCAAGAGAGATGATGCTGAATGGGTTGAAACAATGGCGTGGAGGGATATCATAAGAAGACCTGTTCCAGGCAACCAGGGATCGTGATCTGTGGAGACGCATGAGCGCCTATGCCAGTTGGCTGGGCACATGATGATGATGATGTTTGTGTTCATGTTAAAATGTATTCATGTGTGTGTATATGTACGACTACAAGTGTGTGTATATATGTGTATGCAGAGTTTCTTCTAGAAGAAAAGGTGCCTTTTTTCACCACAAAGTATCTGTTACGTAGCGCTGAAAAACTCAACAAAATCAACAACAGTGGAGACTGTTCAACAGAAGTTAAAAGGAGGTGGGCCATAGCAATGCAAAGACCAAATAGCATTACACATCTTTGGCTAAGCATCAGCAAACAAATCAAAGTCAAAGTTTTGAGAGAATGTATCTTTCCCGTAGCAACATATGGATGTGAGCTTGTGACTACCTCACAGTCATTAAGAAAGAAAAAAAAGGCTTTTGAGTTGAAATGCTATTGAAAATTCTTAAAATTCATCGACCAAGAAGAAAGAAATATTGACATTCCAAAAGGTTTGAAACATCAAGAAAATAGACTTGTAAACAGCATCTTGTCTTGGAAACTGATATACTTTTGCCATTTTAAGTGCCCTGCTGGATTGGAAAGAACAGTATTGGAGGGCATGGTAACAGACGAGAGAGGCAGGGTCTAAACAGCATGAACATAGGTACAGGATATGTTATAGTCAAAGTTAAAGTCTAGAGTATCGATTTCATTGCACTGGATTTTATCCCATATGACTCGGTCTCCCTCCTCAGAATGACTATAATGCCTGTTTGGTGATTCTCTGCCAGTTTCTTCTCATAAAGTATCCAATGTAGTGCCATCTTCTCTGTCTTATAACTGTTAATACTAGTGGTTGCCCAGAAATTTCTCTTATTTCTTCACTCCTTTTGAATTCATCCCATTTTATTTTCATAATTCTCCTCATACATTTGTTTTTGACTGCATTTAAAGAGGAATATAGACAAACTAATTTCCCTCTGTCTTGTCTTTGAAGGCAGCGGCTACGTCACAAGCCTCAGACACAGATGAAGATGATCTGCCGGTGAAACCTTCAAAACCAAGCTCTCAGACACTGCAGGCCACTGATAAAACAACGGTGGGACTGGATCATTGCCTGAAAGATTTTTCTCCCAGGTAAAAGTAAATCTTTAGATAATTTTTCTTAGGTCCACAAGTTAGATCTTCTTCTTTACGTTCACCGGCTGTAATCTTCAAATGAAAAGTTCTGGTTGTTCATCTGCTTCTTGATTAGTCTTTTTCCAGAACCTGAGTTTTGTGTGCACATTCATTTGACAGATATGACTTATTTGTGTGCAGACTATTGGTTCCTTGCCTCTAAGGCAGTTGCAGCCCAACTTTGAAGGAAACGTCCCTGATTAGTCGATGGATCATTGGAGGGAGCAGAAAAAAACGGAGGAGCTGGATCAGTCATCATGCTGCAAGATGGGACCATAGTAGAAACCTCATGCACCTCCAGAAAACAACCTTCAGAGCAGAGCAGCAAGCAATTGTTTTTTCAGCCAAAGTTTTTGAGAAAAGAAAAATTAAAAACAGCAAAATTGTTTTTCTTTGCGACTGCTTATCCGTCCTCCAGGCGACTCAGAGCGATCCACGAGACAACATGAAGAGAGAACTGATCCGTCAGCTAAACAGACTCGCATAAAATAATCAAATCCTTCTCCAGTGGATCCTGGCTTACTGCGGCATACCATAAAATGAGTTGGCAGACAGACTTGCAAAAAATGGAACAAAGGAGAAACAACACGTCCATTCATAGTCATTAATACACCTGGCCTCAAGAGCAAAGTGTGCAGAGCAGGCTATTGGGAACCTTAAAGGACCTGCTACTGACATGCGAGTTCATAGAGGCAACCCACCTGATGGTCTGATCTGAGCAAACGAAACCAAATGCAAAGAAGAAGAAGAAGACAGTCAAGTGGACACAGGCATATGTAAAGAAGTCATTTTCTCTCCTCTCATAAAGATGTTTCTGTAAAGAAGTGTCTCCTTTATCCTGGGCCTCTCTCTCTCCTGCTTGCTTCCACTCCTACTTATTCGACCCAGATCGTTGTCTAGGGGTCACTAATGTAAAATAGATGAGGCAGACTATCTTCCTTCAACGATCACACTAGACTATCTTCCATCAACGATCACACTAGACTATCTTCCATCAACGATCACACTATTCCAAAAGATAGTCGACGATGATGTTGACCAGTTCCAGCTTTATTCCATCTCTAACATACAACAAGAATCAGTATGACACTTGAATTCACCTATCCCGTGTTTTCCACGTGAAACTCAGACTCTCACTTTTAGGATTACCCAAGTTATGTGAATCAGTCATACTCTGACGTTATCCCTATTTATAACCTCATACATCATATATTTGGAGAGACATGCCGAGACTGTCAGATGGACTCAGAAACATGTAGACAGACATGGGGAGACATACAGACAGACATGCATAATCAGAGAAACAGACACATGTGGAAACAGATAGACAGACAGATATATGGAAACAGACATAAGGAGACATATATGTTGAGACAGACAGAGTTATGTACAAACAGACACGTGGAAGCAGAAAGATAGACATATGGAAACATAGACAGACATGTAGAAACAGACAGACATGTGGAGACATGCATTCTGACACATGGAGGCAGACAGAAGGACAGAGATATGTCAAGACAGACACCACATAGACATGTGGACAGAGAGACAGACATAGGGATACATAGATACATCTAGACACAGACATCTATATAGAGGTACAAGCATTGGAGATAGAATGTTGAGAGACATACAGACATGTGGAAACAGGCAGACATGTGGAGATAGACAGATGTGTAGAGAAAGATAGACACGTGTTGACAGATAGACATATTTATGAACATCTTTGTCCATTTTATGTAAAAGCTTCCTTCAAATATATGTTCTTATCCAGATGGAGAAACTGGGTAATTCGAGGAATCTTTTCATGCCTGATGATATCTTCATTCACATTCCTGATATACCTTGGGCCACTAGCTCTTGTGCTTCTGGTAAGTTTTGGACTGTTTTATTTTATTTGCTAATGTTGTCAGATATAAAACAACTTGCTGTTTTTCCAAAGGGATCACCTTGCTGTAGTGGCTGGATGCTCATCTGCAGATCGGAAGGTGGTGGGTTCAAATCGAAACGGAGCTGGACTTTTTTTCCAGGTAAAGTCCCGGGAAGTAAAGGCGGCTGTGTGATGTTGATGACATCACCCACACAGTGCCGATTGGTCTATAAAATATAGGTCTAGCCCAGTAAGCATAATGGCAAGGAAAACGGTCCTTTACTTCACTTACTATTTTTCAAAACAGAAGAGGTGAACAGAGGATTAAGTACAAGGAAAGGAAATTAAACTTGTTCAGTGCTTGAAGTGTGAGGTGCCAGCTTTGTATTTTCAAAGACCAGTCAGTGTTTGATAATGATATAGTCAGTATAGCATTGCCTGCCTTTACTTGCCGAAACATTTCCTGGGATCTTATTTAGGCTGGTTCACCCTAGGCACATCACCCACCGAATGCCATCTGGTCTATAAAATTAAGGTCTAATAGAGTGGTTTCCAAGCTTTTTTCAGGTGGTGCTCCCTTGAAAATATTGCAGCCACCCCCCCCCCCCACACACACACACACACACACACACACCCCCCTCCCCGTACACCAAGCTTTAAAACAAAAAGGCATGTCATTAAAAAGAGGAAGATAAAATGAAAAAAGCTCAATCAATATTAAAAAGAATTTAGGTGTAAGCATCGGCATAAATCTAAATGTCAGAAAACATCAAAGAAATGATCACCAGCAACTGGTAGTTTAGTGTCCAAATATCAGTGTAATGGTGAACACTGTTTTGCCTTGATGGTAGGCACAAAGGAGATCACTCTCTGCATCAAGCTCAAAAAACAAAAATGCTCTTGGTATTTTTTAAAATTTCTTTTGTTATAAATAGTTTAAAAAAATATTTATGATGAAACTGAAAAACATGTTAAAATACTAGAATATTACAAGTGCAGATGCACTAAGTTTCAAAGTTGCTTAAATACCCCCTCCCTTTCCACCCCACCCCAACACTTCCTTTTGTAATTCTGAGTTACCTGGTTCTAATCCAGCTGTGAATGGTTTGGCAGTAGACTCCTTTATGTTCTTCTTCTTCTTTCGTTCGCCTGAAATAAGTTGTCTATATCAGCAGTTTTGTCTCTTGTATAAATTTCACTGTCGTTGTTAGTTCATTCAGTGGTCCATAGAGTTTATGTTCCACTGTTGTTCTTTTTGGCCAAAAGGTTTGCCTCAATGGGTCAAATTCGGTGCAGTCCTTGAGTACATGCTCTTGATTCAAGCAATGATATTGATAGCTGACTATTCAGAGGCAGTGACAAACTACTGAGCCTAAAATTGCCTGGTAAATCCAAACAACCACAAAATGCTGGGGTTGAATCTGTATAAGCACCCTGTCCCCATCTTCAGAGCCATTAAAAAGTTCAGATACTTGTGGTACCAGCAGCAGTTGGGGTTCTTAATTTTTAACGTCCCCCAAACACGAAATTCCCGTGGGAATTCCACAGCTGACTTGACAGTCCATTATTTCAAGGGGTGCAAGTGTGCTGCTGTCTGCTGCTGTTTTTGAGTGTTCATCTAGTGTCTTATGGTGCGACATATTTCGGTCTGTTGATGCGCATTTGGCTGCTTGTTGATGCGCAATTGGCCTGTCTGCAATATTAGTCATGTTTTTATAACATGTCAACATGTGAGTGTATAGCGTAGTTGGTATCACATCTGCCTCATAAATGAAAGATACCGCGTTCAATACCGACGTGATGCTTTTCATCCATTGTAAATTTCTTTATTTTTTTTTTAAAATGAAATGTAAATTGTGTGTGTGTGTGTTTTTGTTGTCACAGTGTTTTTTTTTAAATAAAATGTAAATTGTGTGTTTTAAATGAAATGTAAATTGTGTGTGTGTGTTTTTGTTGCCACAACGTTTTTTTTTTAAATAAAATGTAAATTGTGTGTATGTGTGTTTGTTGTCACAACGGTTTTTTTTTTCACTACATTAAAATGTGCACTTTGGCTATGTGAACTCTATGTGCAATAACAGGAAATGCCAATTGGGGTACTGTAAAAAAGGGCCAATCATTCTACATGAAAACTGCTGGGTTCACGCACAAATTGACAATCACAGAGATTTTACACGTTAGTAGATCTGGACTGAGGTCAAACTGCGGTGGCAGAAGAGACGACGGACTAGTAGTCTTGCGGCGGCCAGAATCTAGCTGTCTGCTAGTATGGTTTCAAACATGTCGCCACCCGCACGTTGAGCGCACCTGCGCCACAGAAACTCACACATGTAAGATTCTAATAAATGTCTGTGGGTGCCATTCTGGCGCTTGTTTCTCTCCTTTGCCGACCTCCACAAACGTTCGATGCATTGCGTATGAGCACCTGTGGTGGGGTCGACAAAATTAATGGAGTGATTGATGGTAAGATGCGTCAATCCAGGAATATTCTCAATTCCATTGTATGCACGCCACATGTCAGAAACTACTGTCGTTCCGGGTCTGATGTTTGCGCTAATGACCGGCAGAAGCGTCTCTGCTTTTCTGTCTGGGACGCAGACCAGAAAGCATTCGCCCGTCTCGCAACAGACTCCACTGTTGTGGAAACACACGTCCAACATTTTTACGTCTTGCAAAGAGACTTTCATCGATTTCAACAGTGGTGTTCTCTCCACCGATCACTGCAGGATTCAATAAAAATGTATTGGCACAAACCTCCCTTAAGAAATTGCTCCATTCCACCGTCGCAGTCGGCAACATGCTCAGCTCTACTTGGCAAAATCAAATGCTTATCATCTCGTGAGACCAGCAGTAAATAAACAGAATGATCTGTCTATATGGGAGTCGTGATCCTTCCAGCCATGTTCCTTGCCACAGAGGTAAGTCTACATGACAAGTGGACTTTCTACAGCGCCAACGATCGTGTCTTTCAGACAGCGATAGCAGCATCTGATGGTTGTTTCTGCAACTTCTGGTTCTGTGCAGAATGCCATACTGTTGCAGGAAGGCAATGCTGCTTTCTTTGTCTTGTACAGATGCAACTAGCTGTAGAAAATTCAAAGTGACTGCTGCTGGAAACAATGGCAACTGACTGACGCGGCAAAGAGCAGTAAACATACGTCATCAGTGTTGCCACTTTTCTTTGACAAAAACATCCAAAACGGAGTCAAAAAAGATCTTAAAATATCCAAATTTGCGTGGAAAACATCTAGGAAAAAAATCCAAGCGGAAAGAGTCACAAATTACATAGCTATTAATATGACTAAAATGGGTAGCATTAATCTGTACTGAAAAGTAAATGTGGCCAGTGTAACAGCTACCACATCACCCTTAGAGTGCCAGTACTGCTGCTACCACTACCACAAGCAGCAAGGCTATCACCAGAACCAGACCCGGACAAACTTGAAAGTGGAGATACTATGTTAACCTAGGACATTGGACTCTGTGTAAAATCTACTACGAAGATTCGATCTTAAGCTCAAGTATCGTTTGCTAACTGATCCATACAAGCCTCATCCGTCATATGATTTTGAAGGCAACATGTCAGGAAGTGGAAAACATTGTTTCAGGAAATCTTGGCTAACCCAGTATTCTCTATGGTTATCATATTCACCTAGGTTAAAAAAGTGCTTTTTGCATTTTCTGTGTTTTATTTCCGCAACCAGTTCAAAGAGGAATTCAAGGTGCCTTCATTACTACTCCTTGTACAAAGTACAAAGATTTTAATGAATGTGCCAGAAACCATACCAGCTCAGCATCGTGGGTCTTAACAAGATGCTGAACACTTCGCATCAACCATGAGAGATCCAAAAAAGGATATTATTTGTCAGATAGATAATTCCGTAAAACGAACTGCTGAAGAAAACAGAAAGAAACTGTAACCTTTTATTTCAACAATCTTATTTTGCGAAACAAATGATTTGGCAATTCGTGGGAAAGATAGCACCAAAGGAAATGTCGAACAGTATTTTAAAAAAAAAACATTTTGATACAGCTGCTGGAAATGCACGTTACACATCACACCGAACGCAGAATGGTTTGATTAATTTGTCTTAACAAGCTCTGCGAGAAGACATTGTAAAAGCTGCTAACAATGCTGCTGGATTCTCGATCATAGCCGATGAAACAGTAGATATCTTAGGAACAGAACAGTTATCACTGGGAGCCCGGTTTGTAGATACGTCTAGTGAGAAGGCTATGATTCGTGAGGAATTCTTTGGATTTTCTCAGCTGAAAGGTGTGGACGCCGCCACGATATCTGATTGTATTATTCAACATTGCAAAACATTTGGCCTTCTCCTTAATAATCTGTTGGGTCAAGGTTATGATGGGTGCTCGATAATGGCCGGAAAAGAAAATGGTGTTCATGCAAAATATTCAAAGTATTTACCCCAAGGCTGCCTTTGTTCACGGTGCCTCGAATATACTGAATCTCGTTGTAAATTATCTTAATAATGTTGCAGTGATACAAAATACTATTAGTACTATCAAAGCAATTATTACATTTTTTTCGTGAAAGCCCAAAAAAGAGGTCCTCTGTCCTAAATATTCCTCTTCTGTGTGAGACAAGATGGACAAGCAAGTATAAAAGTATTCAGATTTTTTCTAGTAAATTTGCAGACATTTATTGTCAACTGGAAACATTTTCATTGCATGCAAGTGGAAATACACGACAGGCTGCACATCAGTTACATTGTTCATCAAAGTCCAGCACGTTTTTATTTTGTCTCAATATTATTTCTCAAGACACTGCCATACTGGAACCAGTTACTCAGGCTCTTCTAGCTGTTCAAGTTGATCTTCCAGAAGTCCAACTGCAAGTTCAAAACCTGCTCAGTGTAGTAAAACTTCACCGAGGTGATTCCGATAACTATTTCAGGGACATTTTTGAGAAAACACTACAGTTCGCACAGAAAGTGGATATTGAACTGATTATCCCAAGACAGCGTGGAAGACAAAAGTATCGAAATAATCCGGGAACCATAAGTGTTGAAGAGTACTTCAGACAAACAGTTTACATTTCATACTTAGATTCTCTAATTAACTCAATTGAGAGTCGATTTTGTGAAGCCAACAGTGCACAAATTAACTTAGTGTTGCTACATCCTTCGAAATTGTGCAAACTGAATCGTAAACAGTTTAAGGATATAATGTCTACTATTAATCAGATATACCACATTGATAATTTTGAAACTGAAGCCTTGAGTTGGTTTGATTTTTTGGAAAACGCGAGAATACAGAAGTAGACAAGATTTTATCAACTTGTACCTTTTACAAAGTTTTATCTGAGTGTCAGGTATGCCTTACTAGTTTTGCTAACATTACCAGCAATAACATGTACTGTGGAGCGATCGTTCAGCACATTACGTCGTGTAAAAACATGGCTTAGATCTGCAATGTCAGATAAACGTCTGTATGGATTGTTTATGTTAAGCAAATCCAGGCCGGCAACGAAACAAATAATGATTTGACCGTTGCTGGCGCTACGTCGTTCGTGGTTTGTGCGATTTATGACAGTACTTACAACGAGCCTTGGTGATATCCCCGGGAACTGCCAATATTTTTGCTCATACTTTACTTTTAGCATGTTGAAATGTTTTTTCAAAGTGAAAGCCACATATAAGGGGAGCAATTATTTTTTTTAAATCACATGAAAAAGAAACACAAAGTTAGCACAGTGAGGATACGGATGAAACAAAGTAAGTGTGATTTGCGCGCCCTTTTAATTAATCAGTACCGGGGCTGCCAGATATTTGAGCTTTGACCCCAGTGAGAGTTCAAAGTTTGAGTAACTGAAAGAAAAAACAATAATAACTGAAAGAAAAAAAATATTTAACTCAAATCAAAAGCATCTAGAAAAACATCTACCATAAGAAAAAAAAATTGACTCCAAATGAAAAGCATCTAGAAAAGCATCTACCATTTAAAAGTCAAAAAGACATCTAAATGGAAGAAAAAACATCTAAATGTGGATGTAAAACATCCGAAGTGGCAACACTGCATGTCATAGTAAAGCGCACGCTTTGTTTTGTGATGTGAACAACTTTGATGTAGAGAAACCGCGAGAAACTACAACCTGAACACCCTAGAATTTATTGGGAATGTCTCCTGTGATGTCATTGTGACATCAGGGGTACATAAAAAATATTGTACACAGTTGGATTATATGGCCATCTTGCTTTCCCTCTGAGTGTAGAGGTTTAACCAGATTCCCTGGTCATCTCCCCCTTTCCCACCAAGGCTGCCTTTACAGACACTGTTGATCTGTTTGCTCTTCTGCATTATTCTCTTGCTCCTAAAGAGCTTTGCCCACATCTTGTTTGTCATGTCTCAGTTCTGCACCAGTTGCTGCAGCATCAGCTAATCTGTCTGCCTGTTCCTTCTCTGATACACCTGCCTACTCAGGGGAGGGGGGGAGGGGAAGATCCAAAGGTTGCTAACTACCAGGAATTTCTGAAAGGGATGCTTGCAAAAAATGTGTATGGTTTGTAGTGTGATACAGGAGATGTATCACATTCCTACCGAGTATCTAGGGGATGGTTCACAAATTTCAGTCCTCCCACCCACACACACAAACACCCACCCACTCACCCCCCACCCCCCACAACCAGCCAACCCATCATGAACAACAATATGCACCCATGCTTCACCAACCCCTTTGGCATAAAACATGATTCCACCCTTTAAAACATCCTTAATGCTTGCTTGCTGTACCCCACCAGGACATCACACAAGCGATAAACACCCGGTGACACAAAGTGCCACCATGCGGATGAGGATCACCCGTGGAGAGGTCCCAGAAACTCCTTTCAGCCGTTATGGCCACATTTGTGGCCCAGATGTATTCAGGGCCCCGGCAAAAGCCAGGGTGGGGCTTCAAATAACGAAAAATTGCATCCCGCAAGGTGACGACTTGGATAATATCCTTAATGGTGCATTCATTAAAACTATCTAAGAGTAATGGTAAAAACAAATGTCCTAACTTTTTCATATTTTTTTAATTTTCAGATAATTGCCATACAAATCATGTGCTTTCATGAAATTATTACAATTGGTTATGTTGTATACCGCACATACGAGCTTCCCTGGTTCCGAACCCTCAGTTGGTATTTTCTGTTTGCCTCCAATTTCTTCTTCTTTGGAGAGAGTCTGATAGGCTATTTCGGAGTTCTTTTGGCTCGAACAGTAAGTAAATTCTTGTAATTTAAATAATTGTTAATCTTGAGCCTTAAGTTTTCAAGATATGTTTAATGCAGACATAGAAGACAAAGGAATAACTGCAAATAATTACAGCTGTAATACAGTAAAGACAAATGAAATAAAAACATTCAGAAAATCACCTATTCAACCACAGGATGGCTATTGTCTGTTGGACGGGAACTGAGCAAACTGCTGTCTATACTTAGAGCTCCTGATGTTGGTTCCTGAGCTGTTTTGGAGATAAACTAGATTAGACCTCTACCTCCATAACTAGTTTATCATAAAAGGGGACTAAGGTTTTGCTGAAATCAGATGGGTTGTAACAACAGAGAAAATATCACAGCCTTGCTGTAAACCACAACATAACAACCACCCTTTAAAGGATGAACAAAGAAAAGGCCAAAGAAGAAGAAAGATGTTGACAGTTGCTGCACGGACACAAAGCTCAAGGTTGGTTCTGTAGCAGTGTGTACATGCATGCAAGCACTTCAAACTGGAGAGCATATCAAGTAAGCAGAAATAAAGGACCCTACAATATCAAATGAAATCATACATAAACACTATATCAAATCATCATCGTCAATTTCCACTTCTGCCATTAGGCAGTGTGTGGAGGAACGGTTTGCGATCCGTTGCTTGATGGGTTGTCATTTTGTGTCGATGTAGTTCTTTAATACCATCAATCCATATTCTTCTAGAGCGGCCTCTTGATTTCACTTCAGATCTTTTCATGTGTAGCACCTGCGCTTTGGTAGTTGCTCTGGCTGCATGCTTACTAAATTACCACCCCATTTAATCTTCTGTTTCTCAATGAGTTTTACTGCATGGTGTTGTTCCTTAGGCTGGGCCTGGTAGTAAATTTTTTAATGTTTTGATGGTGCCTTGGTCATGTGGTTACGAACAAATGAACTTTATTTTCAAAGGGTCACAAATTAGGCACACAGGCTAAATATCTTTTAGACAGCAGTTATACTTTATCAATAAAGTATGTTATGTTCATATAACAATTGACATTATACAGATATTAAGTAAAAAACGCAAAAGCATGGATGGGCTTTTTTGGATTAACCCAAATGTCTATAGAATTAACACTATGAGGATGAGAATTAAACAGAAGCAAGTCACAGAAACTCAATTCAACCACATAACAGTTGCATTTGGGCACCCCGACCAAGCAACCTGCAGTCCAGTGTGGGCACAGGATTATTAATCATATCATGCTTACACACATATAGGGTTATCAGTCATGTCCTGCTTACACACATATGGGATTATCATTCATGTCCGGCTTACACACGTATAGGATTATCATTCATGTCCTGCTTATACACATATAGGATTATAAATGATTTCCTGCTTAGATACATATGGGATTATCAGTCATGTCCTGCTTACACACATTTGGGATTATCAATCATGTCCTGCTTACACACATTGGATTATCAGTTGTGTCCTGTTTACAAACATATAGGAATATCAATAATGTCCTGCTTACACACATATATGATTATCAGTTGTGTCCTGTTTACACACACATATAGGAATATCAATAATGTCCTGCTTACACACATATATGATTATCAGTTGTGTCCTGTTTACACACATATATGATTATCAGTTGTGTCCTGTTTACACACATATAGGAATATCAATAATGTCCTGCTTACACACATATACGATTATCAGTTGTGTCCTGTTTACACACATATAGGAATATCAGTCATGTCCTGCTTACATACATATAGTATTATCAGTCATGTCCTGCTTACACACATTTGGCATTATCAATCATGTCCTGCTTACACACATTTAGGATTATCAGTCATGTCCTGCTTACACACATATAGGATTATCAATTATGTCCTGCTTACATACATATAGGATTATCAGTTGTGTCCTGTTTACACACATATAGGATTATCAATTTTATCCTGCTTACACACATAAAGGATTATCAGTTGTGTCCTGTTTACACACATATAGGAATATTCATCGTATCCTGCTTACATACATAAATGATTATCAATCATGTCCTGATTACACACATATGGGGTTGTCAATCATGTCCTGCTTACATACACTGTATATCATACTGTGGCCAGTCTCAAGATTTTCTGCCTATCCAAAGAGGATGTCCTTAGCGACTCAACCATTCTCCATGTGTGTCCCAGCCATGTGAGCCTTCGAAGACTAAGCATTGATAAAACCGTCAGGGCAAGTTCATTGACTCTTAATTCATTGTGTTAATTTTTTTCAGGATTTTCTCAGGCCGTTTGTGACCTACCACAGATTCATCTCCTTCTCATTATACACAGCAGGCCTGGTTGGGTTTGTTTGTAGCCTTGTGAAGAGGCATTATCTGAAACAGTTTACTTTGGTAAGATCTCAGTGTCAGTGTTTGCCTTAGCAATAGACTTTAACTCTTTCAGTACCAGACAAGTCAAGTGTAACTGTGCCTGACTTTAACCTATTTGTTTTCTAAAGCAGTCTTTCTCATTTGGTGGTCTGCAGATTCACAGGGAGCCAGAGAATAAATAAACAATCTACTGCTTCTTTGCTTTCACTGGTAGTAAACTCTGGCGAAAAGTTCTGGTTGTTCAACCACCTCTGAACTTGGGCTTATTCCAGTTCTTAAGTTTTGCGTGCACATCGGTTTTACAGATCTGGCTTATAAGTATACAGACTGTTGGTTCTTTGCCTCTCAGGTGGATGCACTTCGACTTCAAAAGAAAATAAACATACTTAATTTTCAAAGGTTAAGAACAAACTTAAGGAGTCTGTGAAATCACTTAAAATCACACCTTTCAACGTCAGAATGCAGAGATTTTTGTGATTCTAATATTTATTTATTTTTTTTTTTTTAAATATTATTAAAAATCATTTAGGCTGTGGCAGATCTTTGAAAAAAAGGAAACTGGAGGTTTTAACCGATTAGAAACCATTGATCTAAAGCAAGCCTGTTTAGCCAGTAACCCACATAGGCTTAGAAATTGGCCTGTGGATCATTGCTGATTGTTTTGTATGAGTAATCTTTCTATGCTGGGGCTCACGGCTCTGGTCCATGATGATCCCTATTTTCAACATTTTGGCCCCTGTATAAACTTGGTAGAATAACCCTATTCTAAAGTATAGGTTGTTTGGAGCTGAAAATTTTTCAGATTATGCTAAAAGACAGTGAGACAGAATGGGTTAATATAACAGCACATAAGAGCATATAATTTGGCAGTAAAAAGTAAACACGGGGCTTGTTATTTAATGTTTTGAAGATGGCTGACGATTAACAGAATTCAGAAAATTAGTAGCTCGTTGCCACAGAACTGGCATTGTGCCATCTGCAGTAATGCTTGTCATGTTCTTCTCATGCTCCGCTTTTTTTTTCTCATCAGCTATGAACTGCAGTTATAGTGATAGACTGTTGGTATTGGCACTTCTTGCAGCTTCCTTTTGCATTTAATGTTTGCGAGCTTACTGGATTTTTCAGACAGAACAACGATAGGCATTATGTGTTGTTCTCCTTGGCACAGGAACGAAGCAGTTATGGAGTGACTCATTTGCTGTGAAGTTGGAACTGCGACTGATAACATCATAAATACATGGTCTTTGGACTATACACCTAGTACTGAATTAGAGCATGTATTCTTCTTTCTTGTCATTACCTCCCCTAACGGTCTCGATATTGGCCATACTTAACATCCTATCTTGGTTAGATTAAAAATACAGGGCAAACATAATATACCTATAAGTCTAAAAAGCATGGGACAGGAATTGTTTACTTTCAACTATAGTCACTATAGTTGCCTTGCGCTTGTTTTGACAGCAGTATCTAGAGCCACCGTTCATAAAGCAGTGGCAAACTACTGAACATAAAATTTGCCAAGAAAAACCAAAACTGCCAAAAATTTTGTGGGGGTTGGTTCTGCAGCGTCCCTCAAAGGATACACACGTAACTTTATAGTCATTAACTGAATATTCAGGCAGATAATTTCTTTTTGATTCTAGTTCAGATTTTGTTATTAAATGCATATAATCATTTCCTAGTATAACAGTATAGATAATTACGTTCATAATCACAAACAGTAATATTATTTCTTTCTTTTCAGTTTGGATGGACTCATGTTACACTTCTGCTTGTTGTTGTGCAGTCACATTTCATTATCCAGAATGTCTTTGAAGGTCTGATTTGGTAAGTATCCATTTCTGTTGTGTCATTGATTCTGCAAGAACTGGTGTGTGCTGACCTTGTATATTGCCTTATTAAAAAATATAAAAAAGCAGTTTATCAGATCACACTGATCCAGGGAAGTTAACACAGTTAATAAATGCTTGAAGAAGTTGGATGTGTCGGCCAGAAGGTGCAAATATCTCAGCTGTGCTGTAAACAGGCACAACGCATTTACGTCACTCGCACGAACAAAAAGAAGAATGAAAAGATCACAGTGAAAAGTAAATACCTCTGTTTTTGTGTGCAAAAAGTTCAGCACAATATTCGGCTCTCCTTTCAACTTCGGCCGGTAGACAAATATCGACAGCCGGTTAGTCTGAGTTATGTCCCCTTGCTACAGTGCAATTACGGACTGGAGACGGCATGAATCAAAAAAACACAGTGAGGTCGACATGCAGACCCCGCGCTGCCACTCAAATTAGCAACCGCATTCAATTACCGCTTCTTCCGACGCATTACGGAGTGGACTAGAGGGAACGACACAAGTGACATAGTTACGGTGTCGGCGATAGTCAGCGTGCAGTGCCCTAGGGTTAGGGGTAGGGGTAGGTTTAGGGTTTGGGTTAGGGTTAGGGTTTAGGTTAGGGTTAGGGTTTGGGTTGCTACTCTGAGTTTGCGCGAAGACGAGATGCAGCGACACTAACCTTAACCCTAACCCACACCCTAAACCTAACCCTACCGCTAAACCGAACCCTAAACCAAACCCTAACCCAAACCGTAACCGTATGCTGTCTATCGGCAACACACAGTAATTATGTCATTTGTTTCGTTCCCTCCTGTCCAGTCCGTAATTGCACTGTAGCAAGGGGACATAAGTCTGACTAACTGGTCGTCGATGTTTGTCTACTGGCCGAAGTTGAAAGGAGAGCCCAGTATTCTTTTGCTGTCATCAGTCACCCAAAGAAGTTTTTTTTTTTTTTCAAAATGGATTTATTCTTCTGCTGCTACTTATTGTTGTTATCATTGGGTGATATGGTCAACAGCATGCCGGGCACCTATACTTCCCAGGACATTACCTGGTTCCCATATTAAGCTGGATCAACCTAGAAGCCGAGGTCATTTTAAAAAAAAAAATCTTGTTGTGGATTCGAACCACCAAATATTTTGACCAGTTGTCTATAACATTTCAGTAGACTTCTCCTGACATTCAGTGAAAGTGACTTATTACATATGCTGTTTGGTCTCTGCTGATATGCAGGTTTTGCTTGGTGCATCCTATTCTTCATCTTCTATTTGAATTGCTCCCAGTATTTTAATTCATTTTTTTTTCAATGCTTGAAATCCCCCCAATAGCGCCTGAGGTGACTCCTACTCAGCTACCCCCCCCCCCCCCCCCCACCCTCCAACTGAAAACACCTTTTTTGACTGTCACAGTGCCTCCTTGCAAGAGAATCACTGATCTAGGTGCTACGCCTACGCTACTGTGTCTACTCTACAGACCTTAATAAACCACTTGGTTGCCAATACCTTTGACAGTAACTAACAATCATTGTCTAAAAATTGTAATGAAACTGGAACTGTATAAACAACCATAAGGAAGGGACAGTGTTCTTTGGTCATGTGAAGAGGGCAGAGGCCTTACGGGGCATTGTGACGACTGGACATATCAAATGTTTGAAGAGGCAGAGGCAGACCAGAGAAATTATTTTTGAACGTCATAGGTGGTGGCATAAAAGGAAATTATAAATAGAGCATGAAAAGACAGAGCTGTATGGAGAGATATGAACACATGTAACCTGGCAAAGTACATTATTTTTATGAATATTATTAATGGTAGCAACTAAAGCATAGCAGCTACATGCTCACCTGCTGGCCTGAAGGTCTAGGGTTCTGGAATTTGTTTTGAAAATACCTATGATCTTGGCTTCCAGTGGGACCCAGCCTAAACTGAGTATCAAGTAAAGTAGGTCTATACAAAATATGAGCCTAGCAATTCATCTCTGATGTGCCAACGGCAAGGAATTATCAGTGTATCTGGCTGCCGCTCAGCACTCAAGGGAAAGGTGAGACAAATATAAAATCAGACAGTTACTGGTGCCATGGGCATTGGAACTCTTTGCTTGCTGCTGAAGATGGAACAAATCGCTTATGGAAGTGTCCTGAGTGCTGTGATGTTGATTCTTAATTCAACATTCAACACTTTTTGGTGTAAAAAGGGTCCTTTACTCAACTCTTTCAGTCCCACGGAATACATCATACATTCATAGGTTCTTACCTGGAAACATAATGAATGCAAGATAAGAAGATTGTCTCTCTTTACTACCCTTGGGCCTCTGATGCTAAACCCCTGGGACTGAAAGAGTGAACCTTATTATTAGCATTATTATCTTTATCTTTTTTTGTTCTTTCATTTGTTTCATATTTGCAGGGTGCTTGTTCCCGCATCAATGATCATCTGTAATGACATGATGGCCTACCTTTTTGGCTTCTTTTTTGGCCGTACTCCTCTCATTAAATTATCACCGAAGAAGACATGGGAAGGATTTATTGGTGGCGCATTTTCAACCATAATATTTGGCATAGTTGTAAGTGATGTGTTTGACAGTTAAGAAATATTTTGTAGACCACATTTGTTATATTTTCTCACAGCCATAAAGTTTTGGTTATGTGTTTACCTAAATATTCTTCTTCTTTGCATTCACCATAAATTGGTGAATGACTCCTTGTTTAAGAACATTAAAAGGAAGAAACAAAATAAACTAAAACAAAATAAACTATCATTTAAAGATGTTGAAGAGAGACAGGTAATGAAACAAAAGCTGATGAAAGAAATAAGAGACATTATATTTTTTGGCTTCATTTAGGACAATCATGCTTTAAAAAACCAAACTAGAGGGAAAAATTATGCAGAATGGAGGATAACATCAAGAGATAGATATTTCCCGTATTGGTTACGGTTTGGGACAAGTACATAATAAAAAGTGACTTATGAAGGAACTACTGAAATCAGATGTGTCGGGCCAAAAGGTACAGATATCACAGCTTAGCTGTAAACTACAACACAATCCAAGGCCGTTTTAAGTGTCCGCGAAGTAGAAGAAGCAGAGAAGTGATAATAAATATCAGTCTGTCACAGTACAATCAGAGAAAAGAGAGAACGTATTGTAGTTAATTAATAGAGAATTGACATCACAGCACTCAGGAAATTCACCCACCTGCTCTGTCTCCTTCCTCAAAGCCAACAAAGAGTCGGCATGCTACTGGTACCAGCTGCAACCTGATTAATAGTCCACCTCTGTTTCCTCTCTGAGTTGAATATCTTCCAGCAGCAGAGCATATTGGTGATCCATCACCAACCAGCCTTCATTGTGGACTGATTGATGTCAGTTAAACCTGTCATCACAAGAAACAAAATGGCATTTCCGTTGATGCCTCACTTATGTAAATGCTGGTATCCAGCATTCGTGATCACAGGAAGTCTAGTTAATGGTGTTGGTTCTGTTTGTGCCTGTGCAGTTTTTAGGAGTCTCGAATATGAATATATTTACTAAAAATAGTATTTAGTTTTTTTTTTTTTTTTAGAATGAAGAAAATGGCTTTTTGTAAACTCATAATTTGCCCATAGCCTTAGTAAAAGAATTTTGACGGGGTCAAACATTTTTTTTTTTTAAAGTTAGACCCCCAGGAATGTGTTCTATTTAATGCTTTTCTTCTTTCATATTTATTAATGACTCGCTTTATATAATTTATGAAGGTAATTTTTTTTTATATGTAGATAAATAGATGTTACAGATATTTTTTACTGACCTGTGTAAAATAAATTTTTTTCTAAAGGTTTTTTTTTCCTGGGAATTCCTAGGTTCTGGTCCCACCTCATCCCCTTTTATTTTTCAGTGTTTCTGGGCTGAAAAGGTTAAACAGTTGTTTTGAACTTCATCAGTCAGTGATAAATAGTACTTTTTTCAGTGTTTTTTTTTTTACTTGATCTCTTTCAATTCCACATTATCATTCCAGTTACTCTTTCTGTGTGGGTTCTTAGGTCCTATTTTTTTCGTGGGGGGGGGGGGGGGGGGGGGGGGGGGGTAAACCTATGCCCACTAACAAGCATGTCTTAAAAGGCGATTTAATATGTATTTGGCCAAACAGCGCAGATATCGCAGCCTAGCTGTAAAGCTCTACACCGCATGCCTACTGCTCTTCTAAGAGTGAACTAAGAAGAAGTAGAAGATACCGGTTTCTAAATGGGTGAAATAAAAATCACAAAATCAAACTCTATTGCTTTCACAGGGTCCACAAATTCTGATTGTGGAGGAAATAATTTGTTGCCAGGTTTCTTTAGTGTGGTTTGACTAAATTTAAAAGGTACAGCTGCACATGACATTTTGATTGCTTGATATGAATTGCCAATTACACAATCGCAATATATAAAACACTGATTAGACCGGTTGTCACACATGGCTCTGAAACCTGGAGTACAGCTAAGGGAGACAAAGCCTCATTACAAACTTTTGAGAACAGTCTTATAATTAATCTTTGGACTCATAAATGATGCAAACAGTGAAGAATGGTGATTGAGAAGCAACTAAAATCATAATACGTTTAAATCACCACTACTTACTGGCATCATGAGGGTTAATAGACTGTGACAGTTGCGGCATACAGAGAAAATGACAGATAACAGAGAGACTGAAACTGCAAACATACAAGAGTTGAATGGGAGTAGAGTATGAACAGACCAAGAAGTTGGTGGAGAGATAACAAACACTTGGCGTCACCAACTGGAAAGAGAAAGTCAGTCACAGAAATGAATGGAGGCGGGTGATATCTGTGGCAATGATCCTGAAGGCCTTGGAATGCTGAAGAAGACGATATGGTGCTTGGGCAGTGTAATGGGGGATATTTTCACCCTGATTAGGAAGGTTGGGGGAAAAGCCCAAGGTTAACAAGAATACCGAGAGAAGCCAGATACTCAGATTAACCGAGGTTTTCAAGATAGGTGATGACCACGAGTTATCACGTGGAACCCGATGATAGTGACCAAAGGTCGCCACGTGGAACTGAAGAACAACCCCGTGTTGCCACGTGGAACGATCACTGGGTATAAGCTCAGACCCCATTCTGGTCAGTTGATATGTGTTGACTGTCGGAGTGAAAGGACAGGAGAGTGATCGAGAGAATGACAACGTGAGACTGATTGCTGCGAGAGGAAGATCAGACGACGACATCCATTGAAGCCAAGACCAGCCAGGCAATTCTATGTGAAGTCGATGAAAATACCCAGATCCATCTGTGCGAACTCTGGTCAATGATTGTGTGAGAAACCAGCATGTTGAAGTCTGATTGATGTGGTGCATGCAAGCTGTAAACTAGTGCATGGAGAGGACTCTTGTGTAAGAGATGAGATGTCAATAAAATGTTTCGTACTTCGAAGTCGGTGTCGGCTTGTCCCAGTTATGTCTTCGTAAAGAATGTGTGCTAAGAGCATTCACTAGACACATCATCGCCTAGACAATGAGTCATTGCAAGCAGACAACAGCTCATTGCAGGCAGAAATAGGAAAATATTTGCCTGTTTTTACAAAAGTACACTTTCAGTATTGAGATCTGTCTGAAAAATCAAATTAAACTTTTTTTTTTCATGTAAAGTAATATTCATTTTGACCTGTTTGCATTAAGAATTCACATGTTAGTCTTTGGCATTTTGTAAAATAAACAAATAACAGGCCCTGAAAATGCAGGTTTGGTGACTTTGGCCTAGTGTCAATGATATATTGGCATGTCTGATCATCAGTAAAGTTCATGTTTCTTTAATAAAGAAAAAAATTCTAGTTTGTACACTACGTGTCATTGACTTGGGAAGCAGCTTTTATTACTTAGCTCCAAAAAAAATTGTTTCAGTGCTATAATGATATCAAGCTATGGCTCAAAGGTCGACCCGGCCTTGAGTGGGAACCAGGTGCAATCCTGGGAAATAAAGGCGGCTGGCGTGATGTTGACCACATCACCCCCCAAGTTCCGAGTGATCTATAAAATATAGGTCTAGCCCTGTATCTCCAATATGTCTGAAGGCGTGGGAAAGTCCTTTAATTTACTTTATAATTAAATCAAGGAAACATGGATCTAATTTGTTTTTTCTTTCTGTATTTGTTCTACAGCTGTCCTACTTCCTGTTGCAATCTGATGATTTTGTCTGTCCTGTGACATATGATGAATCCAGAAATGCAATTTCCATGGAGTGTGAACGGTCAAGTGTTTTCCTCATCGCACAGTACAATTTGCCAGAAACAGTGAGAGCATTTTTCAAACTGGTGTGTGGGTTTTTTCCAGTTTGTTCAGTACTCATTTAAACTTTATTTGTTATGCACAGTTCCAATTTCAGGGCAGACTGGTTGCCTGATAATTGTTCTGCGTCTGTTTCAGTGAAATCCACACAAAAGACCTATCCCTGTCCTGTTTGAAAACTAGTTAAACAGATCAGTCCTAGCAAAATACAGCAGCTTGCTCACAGTAAATACATGAGGCAGCTGTTAGAGGTGACATCATCAGTAGAAGTAGTAAAGTAAGTAAAGTTCCCTTTTCACGTCTTTCGGCGCATCGGGCATATGGGCAGAGCGTCCCATATTTTTACAGACCATCAGCACTTTGTGGGTAATGTGGTCAGCATTACGCTGGCTGTCTTTACTTTCCCAGGACAGCCCATCCTGGTACCCATTTTCGGCTGGGTCGACCTGCGACGTCCCATACCACGATAAAAATCCACGCAGCCTGCAGTGGGTTTCGATCGCGGTATGCTGGCTTACGAGTCGGACTCGCAACGCCTTAGCCACGGACGCCGCAGTAGAAGTAGTAGTAATGCTAAATTGGCAGTTGCATATATAATATTCCATAAGGCATACTGCCAGTTCTGAAGCAAACCGATCCCCTGCCTTTTTCTGAAAATAATGTTGTCATGCTTATGGAGTATGATTTTTTTTTTTAAGTATAAGTACTTGTAGTCACTGAAATAAATCAAAGGTGTTACTTGACACTTATAGAAGTATACTAGGTCCAACAATTAAGTAATGAGACTAATTCCATAAAAATTAAAATAATCAATAGTTTAAGATTTAACCTGGTTTTTTTTTTTTTTCAAAGTAAGCACCTTGTGCATTGAGACAGCAAGTGGCACGATCTAACAAACACTGGAACGACCTCTGTAGTTCTTCTGTTATTATGACCCTTAAAGTCAATGTTATGACCCTTTGGATGTCATCATTATCGTCAAAGAAGTGTCCTTTCAATGGCATCTATAATTTTTAGTCACAGGGAGACAAATCCGGGTGAATAGGGTGGATGATTGAGAACACGGACTTGTTTTGGGGCCAACAATTTCTCTACAACTACAGCCCTTTGAGCCGGTACATTGTCATGAAGAAGAAACAAATTACCAGGTGTAACCAGCAAGCAACTTTTTTCTTGCCTAAATTTTTTACTAAAATTTTACAATTAGTCTCTGTATTAACATCAAATTCATCTACCATCATCCTCACAGTCGAAATATGATCGTCTTTATCTGTTCTCGGAATTTTGCAATGAGTTCCTCATTA